TCCCACTCCTATTCCCAAAAACCCAAAAAAAGAAAGTTTCATTGTTCTAGCTTAAAAAACCACGAATTTCGATATAAACTTTCATCCTCTTTTTCAACCCCTATTAACCCTTACTTGGCATTAAAAAGTAAGCCTATGTCCTTTCTCAACCTCTTAAATATCTGTGTACCAAATATAATTTCAATCAGTTTAGTAGTTTCGGAGTTAAAGCCGGACAGACAGACAGACAGAGTTACTCTCGCATTTATAATATTAGTATAGATTTGAAAACTTTATTATTTTTTACATGTTACATATAGCACATGAAGGCACTATATAATTTAAGAATCGAAAATAAATTGAAAAAATGTTCGACTCGGGCAGGACTTGAACCGGCATCGTCAGCGTTCCGTGCTGTTGCTCTTGCCAAATGAGCTACCGAGTCCTTATCGTTGAATTATTTCAACTTATTGATACATGCACCATATTGCATGCATCAATGCATTCGACGATAAGCTGTATTACTCTTCTTTACTTTCTGAGATTAGCTCGTTAAAACAAACAAACAAACTCTTCAGCTTTATATATTAGTATAGATAGGTGAGTACCACTCAAACCGTAATTGATATAGATTTAGTTTAATTATCCACTTCATAGTTGTTACGGAATAGCGATACTCGCCAGAGGTTCTGACTTTATTATAACAAGACGGATTGTTAGAAACTTTGAACAGTGGTCTGCTCTTTGATTTCAACAGTTCAAAGTACATTACTTACCGTGGTCCTCTCGTGACAACGACTGCTGTAAAGCATCCGAAAAGTGGGGCCGTAGTTAAGTTAACTAATATACTTAACGCTTTTTAACATATTTCAGCACATTCTATACAAAAAACAGCTTATGGAATAGTATGTTTTTAAGCAAAATATATTTAGCTAGCATTGGTAGAATTATGCAACAAATGTGACCACATTAAAATAGTTTTAGGAAACAAACTTCACAGTATACTACTAAATCTGGTTTTACGTAAAGTATAACCACAAATTGCGGTAACATGTCAGCTGCAATCCGAGTATATTTATTTACATTACAGTTAGAATATTTCTCAGAAAGGAGACCCAAAAATTCGTCTACCATGTGTATCAAATTAATTCTTTCAGAAGGGTATCAGGGATACGTATATATGTTAATACTCTTAAATCTTGCAATATGCATATATATAAATTGTAAAGTATCCACTATTCTCTATTTATACTAACCCTTTCAATTCACTAATACCCATTTATAAAAATGATGTTCACATTTTGTGAATTCTAATACTAAGAGTTATGCTAATACCTTTCAGTATCCACGTGTCTCTATTTAATGACCCACTGTGAATAAAACTTACTTTATTGAGTGCAACATCTAGCTTTAATTGAATGTAAATTATTCTATGAATAGATTTAGAAATGACAATGTAACGAGTTGTTGAGCCAGCCAAAAAAGGTGTCTTTATCTCTTTATGTGTGGTTCTTAACTCTAACGTGTATGTTATACAAGTAATGCCTACTAGTACATACTAGGAATTGAGATACTTTTCAATCGAAAAAAGTCTCAATTCAATTCTTTTTTCAATTCAATTCAATTTATTCAAAATTTTTTACATTTTATTTTTAACATAAAGTAGCGTCAACAAAAACTCATTCGAGTTATATTAATTATTATAGTAATAATACATATAATTAATTCGATGCGTGGAGTAAAGTTATTAAGTTCAGATAAAAGAATAGGCGAGTCTATTGTGTTCAGAGTTAAGTTGTGTAAGAAGGAGAGATCAGCTGTTTCTCTTCTTAGTGTTAGAGAGAGCATATGATGGTGTTTACAGTTGTCAGTGTAGTTATTAAAGTTAATTTTGAGTTTACAGTTTCGGAGCTTAAGAATTTTTTTTGAGAGAGTTGTTTTATGTAAACATTATAATTGCGGATTACAAACTTGAGGAGCATATTCTAACTTACTTCTAACAAGAGAACAATATATTATTTTAAGAGTTTTTGCAAGTTTGAAGTTTTTTGAGATTCTAAAAAAAATGAATCCTAGAGTTCTTCCTGTAATTTTAAAAATATGGTTATCAAAAATGAGCTTTGATTCTAATGTTACGCCTAAATCTAAAATTGTGTCAGTTTTAATGATATTTGGTTATTGATAGTGTAGGCAAATATTTTTTTTTGTCAGATCTTGTGAAGGATATAGCTGAGCATTTTGTGAGGTTGAGGTCGAGTTTATTAGCGGTACAGTAATCGTGGAAAGTTTTAAGATCTTCCTGCAGAAGATCGGCATCTTTTTTTGAATTAATAGGTCTGAACGCTGATAAAATTTCTTCATATCGTCAGCGGACAAGAGGAATTTGCTGTTTCTAAAGCAATAATGTATGTCATTAATGAAAATGTTAAACAGGACTGGGCCCAGAATTGATTTTTTATTTTTGTTTTATGAACCGATTTCAGCCGACTACAAAATTATATTATAAAAATATTTATTAAATCATTTCTATACACACAAAATAGGTATAACTTGACACAAAGTATTTTTTTGTTTTTGTGTTAACTGTTAGTTTTTGTAAAAAAAAGTTATGTCAAAAAGATTTTATGCTCGATAAAGCCACACAACCACACAATAATAATACTTTATCTATATATAAATATGAAAAGTCAAAATAGGGAAAAGACCATCTAAATTGGATGTTAAGGGGTTGGGGAAATGAAATGGGAAAAAAAAATCCCCTACCTGTCTGTCCTACTACGTCATATTCCCACACACACCACAGTTTAGGTGGTGTAACTGTATATCTATCCAGACCATGTGTGCCATTCAAAAACAATGTCATACCCCAAGCCCATCACTTTAGTGACAATTTTAGCCATCCGACAAAAAGTCACCGAAACGAAAATAAAAAGATCATTAAAATAATTTAGTGACTGCCGAACGGCGTTACTTTATTTTCGCTCCCTCGCTTTGTTTATAGTTTAAGCTGTTTTCGCAAGGGCGGCAGTTTTCCTAGAACCATTGAGATGTTATCTCTGACACGTGATACATATAAATCGTTTATTGAATAAGTAATTCGAATAGGTCAATAATTTGTCCTTAGATACAAGTAAACAATTACATCATACAATATTGCTTACTTGCTGTTCTAGGTATAGATAACGATTAAAGAGAAATTTTGAAAAAAAAAACATTTTTACAGTTTCAAAGGCGAAATGTAAGTTAATTACAATTTATTTTGAATACGGCCCGTAGTTTCTTGGATGCTTGGTAGCAGATATGGTCACGGTAGGTACGTAGTTACTCTACTGTTCAATAATACTTGGTAGATAAAGTGCGTTCAAATTCGACTAGACTTTAAGTCTAGCCAATAATGATTTGTCACGCTCGATTGATGAACATAATTAAGCGATCTTTATGTAAACTTGTATCATGACAATTATGAATTTAAGCGTACATGAACGGTTGAGGCTTGTCAAAATGGCCGACTCAAACAAATTATAACATTTAAATAAGACACTTTAACGGTTTAAAACGCGATATATTTGTTAAACTCCATTTATTAGATTTCTCCCTCGTGCCCGACGTTTCGGATGCTTTGCAGAAGCTCGGGAGACTAAAAAGGAGGACGTCGTGACCAGGCTGTTGCAAAGCACCGAAAGTCGGGCCGAAGTTAAAATCTTTCAAATCAGTTTAACTAATATATCGCGTTTTAAACCGTTAAAGTGTTTTATTTAAATGTGTACTACTCGCGTAAACTAAAGACAGTATTTAAATTATAACATTTTAAGCTACGTTGACTTCCTTCTAAAGGAATTGAAATTTAACTTTTGATTTATTATTCGTTTACACGAGTAACTCAAAGGATTTCATTTTGTGGTATTTTCGGTTTGAGACCAGTTAATAATAAATATTCAACAATAAACAATTTTATTTCAAGCAGACGCGTTCGTCGAAATCCATTATTATAGAGAAAATGCTCGAATGATCTTTTACGATTCATTGTAATTGGTTACTTATTGGACAAATTTCGTTAGATTTGTGCCGTTTTCCTTTAAATGTTGGAATTGAAATGTATAAGTTGAGTTTAATAAGTTCATAGTGAAAGTATTAATTAATTTATATATAAAACAACATGTAGCCGCGACTTTGTGGAATAGTTATTTTGGGCATTGTATGATATTTAATATTCGCAAACAATGCGCCATTTCCATCAAATTTTCTTTTCAATTTAATTTAAATATTTAATAAGACCCTATTTACCCTTTTAGAGCATGGGGCAAACACACTTTAGTGTCTATATCTCTGACTAGCTGAGTCAGCGACTTCGTCCGCGTACAGTTGTTATTTTGGGAATCGGTCCCCGTGGTTCTTGCGAGTTCATCTTAAGAGATAGACATGTATTGTCGCGGACATTTTATTGATAATTTAAAGAAGAATCATTTTCTCATACATATTTTATTAATTTATTGAACCGTAAAAAAATTTCCCAATTTTACCGCATTTTCCGTCCTTTTAGCATTAGCCTATAGCCTTCCTCGATAATTGCTCTAATCAACAAATTATTTTGCTATTCGCACCAGGTTCTCCGGGTTTTAACGCATTCAAACAATCTAACTCTTCAGCTTTATAATATATAGTATAGATTTGATGTTATTTTTCGGGCAAGGATTGGACCGTTTTTCTAGGAATTCAAGCCAAGGACCTCTTGTGCAATGCATTTAACCATTGAGCTATAGAAGCGGTCATCATGTGAAAGAATGGTGTTCCAACTGCAGCTACCTAAATAATATTAAAAAAAACCTTTCCGAACATAAGCAGAAACAGTATTTTTCTACACGTTTATCGATATTTACTTTACCGCAGTTGATAATATGTGACCTATGTATACACTCGGAATGCTTTTAATGACAATTTATTTGCATTACTCTAATCTATCGTATATAAAGTAAATGATTTGTGAGGCAGGAGACTGTCAGTACTGTGTCTAATGTGTCAGGATGTTGTCGGCTCGTGGATTGATTTTATTCGTATCTTTTGTGACAGTTCTGTGCGAGGAAGGTAGGGAGAATATTATCAATAAGATAACGAGTTTAACTTTGTTATTTACCTAAGTATATGACAGAAAAGTAACGCCATAATAACACAGCAAAAAACGGTTAAAGATGGATGTTGTCTTCCATTTTTAAAAATGCATAAAGTCAAAGCAAAATTTGAAGTTATTAAAACGTGGATTTTAGATTATAGATAGGCCATTACAAAAATTTAATATTACTACATAGTATAAAACAAAATTGCTTTTTCTGTCCCTATGTGAGCTTAAATGTTTTAAACTAAGCAACGGATTTTGATGCGGTTTTTTATAGATAAAGTGATTTAAGGGTTTTATAAACAACGTTCACAGTTTTTCTGTAGCGTATTAAGTATCAGCATTGCACCCGAGCGAAGCCGGGGCGGCTAGCTAGTTTTTAAATAAAGAGCGAATTGAATTCAGAAATTACGATGTAGGATAATTCTTAATTTAAGAGCTGCTTTAGCGTTTGAAGTATCGAGGAATTCTATTAATCCCGAGTATAATGGAAATATTTAGCCCAGTAAAGTATTATCGTCTTAAACTTACTTAAAGAAATTTACATTCTATCCGTTGGACTCTTAGAATTTTTCTCGGAAGCTTTTTACGAATAGGAAGATTTTAAAGTTAAGTAAAAAGATTTAACTGTACAGTTAACATTGCATAACTTAATATATTAAATAATAATATAACTGAGAAGTCTTGTGAAGATAAAAAGGTTTAAAGTGGAGCAGAGCTTTTAAAACGATGTAATTTAATTACATTAGACAAATTAAATAAGATGAAAGTATTTAAAATTTATACTGTAAACGTCCGTTCAGGAACTATGAACCCGGTAAATGATAAGAAGAAAATTACCACCGGTTCATCGTCTCTTTATCTCTTATTATACAATAATACGAATGGTATAATCTTACGTGTAGCCCCCGAATTACTAACACAGATAGCATGTATCGTCTTTATGATTGTATGTTCTCATATAATATAAAATTTTAACTACCCACAACTTTGTATATCTTAAGGACAGTAAGAAATTTTTTTTTTTATCTATCTATTTATCTTTATATCGATTCAAAGTGCAAGAGGCTAATTTATGTTAAATTAAAAACAGATGACCTACAATTAATAAAAGTTTAGACGGTTTAAAACGCGATATATTATATTAGTTAAAGTTAATTATTTTAACTACGGCCCGACGTGACCACGGTTGCTGCAAAGCATCTGAAACGTAAGACGTAGTTCAAATTCATTTTAAATAGATTTAAATAAGTTAAACTGAAATATATCGCTTTTTTAAACCGTTAACGTGTTTTATTTAAATATGGTCTACTCGCATAAACTACAGATTGCACCTGTGTTACCTGTAATATTTTTTAGTTAATTTTTGAAGTCCATAGTGATATTAATAGATTACAGAATAATGCAGTTTTGTCTTGACTAAATGTCAAACACAACCCATAGTACGTTCATTTATTTTATAGTCGAATTAAACATTTTAGGTATTCAATTTTCATTTCTGCTCGGGGTTATTGTACCAAATCGCCGTAGGCAATTGAAACGATAAAATCATACAAAAGTGACAATATACTTCAATTGACGTTCAGACTACTTTAAACGGAACCACTTGGCTTTGATAGAAATTTAAAGTGAAGATCACGGACAAAACTAATAAAATGTCTTTAATAGCTCAGAAAAGAATTTACTTTCAAAAAAATCTATATCAATTTGGATGCAAAAACTTTGATAAATGCCCTCTTAAAATTTAGCAAACTAAAAAACTAAAACTTTACGATTAAAGAAAATATCTATTTCGTTCATCATTAAATCGAAAATATTTTTTAATCTTTATTTATAGGCTTTAACCAACAGTTATGTCGCCCAATGATACAAAATTTACAATTACAATACCGAATAATAAAATATCTAACTCTAAACATATTTACATAGCCTTATGATATAAGTTTAGTAGCATCCTAGCCTCCCCGAAAATGGAAAGGCTAAGACACTACATACCCCCAACATTTTTAAAACAATAGATTTACTAACCAATTGTCTATATGCCGCATTCCGTACACATTCCGACAAAACGAGTGAGGTCTTCACAACGTACAATCTGTGCAACAGGACTTGATGTTACTTCATCAGATGTTTGAATTTGTTTGTCGGAATATGTCCGGAACGCAACCCAAAAATACAACATCTCTTCTATAGTTATTGAAAATGTACCACGGGTGAATTGGAGGGGACATACAATCGAATACCAGATACCCTTTGTGAGAGACCTCTCATCGAAATAAACATTCCACATACTTCGACAATCTTGTTTCACCAAAAAAAGTACCTCAGAATATGTAGGTCGCCCATATAATGAAACTACTCCCCCGAAGTCTCACCATTTAACAACATATTTAGCCCAATCAGCTTCTTCATTACCTTCAATGCCAACGTGTGATGGTATCCACTGAATTGTACTGTTTTATTTTTAACTTTTAATTTGCAAATAGAGTCCAAAATGGAATAGGCTATCGGGAGCCCTCGATTCTTCATTTCTCGATTTTGATTCGAATCGAAAATATTGTAATGGCTACTATGGTATAATTTATTTTTTTAAGGCAATAGATAAAAAGACTATTCATTAAATTAAGTTCGTTTTGGTACTTATGATAAATAGTTGCAATTAGGTTCCAATTTTTCCTACTTATTTGATACTTATATAGTTTATTTAAGTTCTTAAATGGCTTAAACCGGAAATGTCTTTTTTTTTAATATTGATTCTTTCTTATTGTTACAGAAGCGTTCTTAACACCATGCGACATTACTGACACGGAATGTTTACGAAAGTCGACACAAAAGTTCTTAGCAAAAACAGCCGCAGGTGTCCCCGATTACGACATTAGGGCTATAGATCCGATGGTCTTACCTTCATTGGATCACTTGGTTAATGAAGAATATGGAGTTTGGAATCATTTGAAGAACCTAAACATAGTGGGTTTGAAAAATCAGGACCTTTCAAAGTTCAGGTGAGTTCAGTAAAAAAAAGAACTAGTCATACTTCGTAGTTTAAGACGTTGTTTTATATGTAAATATTAACCTTAATTAACTAAAAATACAGAAATTCAAACTTGTAATGTCACATAACTCCTCAATATCTTGACAGTGATTAACAAAGACATAAAATACCAAACGCCACATAAACAGTTTCACTCATCGGTTTTTTGACAAGTAAAGGCAAGTGGTTGATCAAGATTCTGTGCCCTGCCCGTCGTTTTTTGCCCCGGGGATTCGAATCCGTCCTAGGTTCGAATCCCAATGTTCTCGCGGTTTACGTAATCTAGAGCTGAATGTAAGGCGTTAAACCATTTGGCTACAAAGGCGTAACAACAGTAAAAATTATTAAACAATACTTTTTACAGCCTAGATACAAAAACAAAGGCAGTCGAGCTACAAACTAAAGTGGACCTTAGCATAAATGGGGACATCACAGTGGAAGGGAAGAAAAGTGGAAAATCATTTCCCGGCTCGATTTCAATTAAAGGGAGTAAGTATAAATTCTGTTAACGGCGTCGTTATAGCGAGCCTTTAATTAGAAACGTTATTTATTATTATATATGACTAGTGCTTATTAATAGGGATTAATTCTATTAGTAAAAGATTCTTGTGATTCTATCACGCTACTCGTATTTCTATATGCCAGTTTTTGAAAAAGATCGTAAATAAACTGTATCGCAGCGAAACATTTTCGATTTTCCAAATAAATCATTCAAATCCAAACTAAATCTTAAAAAAACAGTAATAGGCTTCTGATATAATATATTTTTATCGCAAAATTTTTTGAAGATTGCAAAAGCGACCAAACTAAAGTATCGTGCGTTAAGGAACATTAGTAAGCAGAGCAATTTAAAATATCTCTTACGTTTATCATTAAATAAAACACATACTATCAAATAATATCTTTATCAAAAATAAAACGCGTTTGCAATTGACAAAGCAAAGATTGCTCGTAAAAAAATAAAGAAAACTTGTGGTCAATAAAAGCAGAAACACAAAATTAGTGCGCTCCTGAATTAAATACTAATGATGAATTGTCTCAGCAAACAAAAAGTAATTAAATCTTATTGAAGTATAAGAATAAAAAAATAGTACCGTAAAATGTATCGAAAACTGTCAAAGTTCGCTAGTTAGAATCTTTGCCTTGTTGATAGAATAGATACCTATGTTGATACCGATTTTCTTAACGTTTTATGTTATTCACAAGTCTAAGTCAGTAAAAATATTATATATTAAGTATACTTCGGTAAATTGAATTGACATTATTTTCTAGGTGCTTTGGGAACTGCCAAATATAACTATGATTTTAAGACTGATGACAAAGGAGTAACCCACTTCGAAGTCAGCCCGGAAACCATAACCTGTGAACCAATTGGTGAAGCCGAAATAAAGCTGGATCCGGAACTACTACGGGAATTGAAGAAAGGTACGTTTTATATAATGAAAACACTGTGGTAATACAATTAATATCAATCAATATGCAAACTAATTTGTAAAACAAATAATCACACGTAGCGTTAATTATAAGACTGCTTGTGAATAAAGTCAAAAATTTTCCTATCGTTACCCACATATTTTAATTACAAAAGGCTAGTCTGATAGTTGAGATATTAATCCATATAAAATTCAATTGCATTGTCAATAAGCATTTTCACATAATAGACTTAGCCATAGATGAAATATTATAGTTATTGTAAGTGTGAATGTTATGATAACATATTAGTGACAATGTTGTTATTTAAAAATAACATACAGTTTCTTAAAATTAGGTCAAGTAAGTAGTAATGACATAAAACATATAAAAATAAGTCGTCATAAAAGTGATTTTGAATATTAAAGTCGTTTGACACATATATAATGAGTATTTCTTAACCCTGTGTCATCTATGCCAACGACTACACTCCATAAAAGGGCATCACTAGTTGTCTATGGTTTCAAATCGGCAATTTTTGTTGTGGTCTTTTGCCAAGTTAAAATAAATACACTATTCATTGCTTTGGCAAGATATTTTTATATATTAGATCTACCTTATGGTTTTAACGAGCAAAAATTAATTTACGCAGAATACTTTTACGAGTAGGCTTTTTGCCTAATTATTATATATTATATAACTCATATATTATACCTATTGTTCCAGATCCTGAAATCCAAGCAGAAAGAGAAAAAATAAAATCAGAAGCAACAGACAATGGTAATAGATTATTGTGTGCGATAGTTGAAAAGGCGTATGTAACTGTTGTACACAATATCAGAGCGTCTGCTAAAATATTGCCTAAGGATGCATTTTTGAAAGGCGTTTAATGTGATGAAAATATTAATTAACCATTTTAGTGTCACATATTGTAAGTGTAAATACATTTGTATGTGAGTGTGTTTTTTATTTAAATATCTTAGTCTTTTCGAATTTTATTTAGATATTAATCTTATTTTTTTATAACATCATCTTATTTCATCATCTCAATTTAGCTGATTTATAGATTTATTGTTTATAGATCCAAACAAGCTAAGGAGACAAACTTTAAGCATTGTTACTAAAACTAGAGACAATATATATATTTACTTTAAAACAATAATTTGCATTTAGGAAGATAGAAGAGATTTGGTTTGGGCATTGGTTCTGTACAGAAACTACAGCGTAATTACTAACCAAGATGTTTGCTTGAATGTTAATGTTGGTTTCAACTATCACATTACTTTGCGTAAGCTAAATGGAAGTTGGAAAGATGAGACTCTAAAAATTAAAGAACTTATTTCAATCAAACTCCAATACATTATACTTATAAAGATTCTAATTTTAAAACTTTACACATTTGATTTTTAAAGTACTTACAAGTGTACTCAGAAAAATATCCGTGTGGACATGTTCTCAAACAAACACATTAGTATAAACATTTTGCACAAGTCGATGATAACCTTTTTAAGAGCAGTCAATAACCTCAACCAAAAGGGGGTATATTTTCATATCGCTCGATATTCTGCTGAAATAATGCAGAACAGATTTCTCATTTAAAAATCTATTTCCAACTTGATAATGAAAGATATATACCCGTAGGGATTGAGAATATCAATGTCTTTTGAAATGCAAAAACTTTACAGACTGAAAGTAATTTTAGATTAAGACAGCGTAAACACCTACACAGATTGACTATCTATTAAAATAAATTGTGTCTGTATTTTAATATTACATTACATAGTTACATACATTATATATGTGTATATTAATTATATATTAATACATTATTGTATGTTAATTTCAAATCTATTATGATCATTAATATTAATTACACATTGTAAAAATTGTAATACAACTCTTTATTGTATACTAACGACTTCGTTTCTCACAGACGAAATACATTGCGTTAAGCACGACAGGTGTAGGGGTTTGAATCCCAGGTAAAAATCAGACAGGGCCGTGCATGGCATCAAAGTGACATTAACTTGTATGTAAATAAAATCGATCTGTAAAACGGACTCAGAAATGTGTCCGTTCCGTACCGCAATAGTGAAAACGAGATTTTGCTCACTTAAGCAAAATCTAGTTTTCACCTCTAGCAGTATGTTCTTAATGGCTGAATGGAGATTTCGAAGATTATAATTTTATTTTAAAGAAAAAGATGATTGGTTTGTTAAATCTAAAGTGTCTTATGTACAATATTTACTTAATGGTTAAACGTGATGCCTAACATTGGTTGAACGCGAGAGGTCATGGGTTCGAATCCCGGAGAAACAATCGATGCTTTGTCGGACACATGTCTATAAATAAAAGGCAATGAGCCGAGGGAAACGGACGCACAATTATGTCCGCTCCATGGCTCATGCAGGAAAACTGACTTTTTAGGAAACTTAACCAAAATCACAGTATGTATAAGAATTAGTAGGTTTTGAGGTGAAATATCCCATTCATTTAACATGTAAAGAAGATGAGCTGTCGATCTGTTTTGGTTTTAAATATTCAGAAAATACATAACAGTATTTCTCCGGTTGAGAGATATAATTATATCAATGCGACTAATAGCCCCCATACCGCACAGTGACAAGCGTGACATTAATTTATTTTCGCGAAGATTTATCAAAAGAATGCTGATTTTCGATGTACTCAAATACCGTTTGTATTTGGTAAGGTGGGCGGAATAATGTTACAATCAAAAAGTTCAAGTATTGACAGTGGTTCGTGATCCGGATAGTATAACGATTTTCCTATCACCTATTTAATATCGAAACATTCAGAAGGAGTCCAACAGATTTTAGAAAAATTATAAATTGATTAGGAACAAGCTTGACCCAAAGAGGATCCAACCCACGACCCGTCGATTAAGTTTATATAAGAGTCTAAAAGTAAAATTCGGATATAAATTCTTAATTCAATTTGAATAGTTAAGCATACAACATAATTCGGTAATAATTACAACACTAAGCTTTAAACAATATTTATTTTACCATTAATCTAATGAAGCCCTTAAAGGGTTGTCTCCAATAGAGCTTTGGTGCTAAATTACTAACATTTGTTACATTAAAAAATGTACTTATAATTATAATACCTTAGCTGAAGCGAAGCACGGCGCGCCGTTGGTCTCATATTCGATTATCGCCCGTGTCATCGACTTCTCACTTTCCGTCTTTTTTTGTAAAAAGGGTGTTAGCGCATAAAATCCCAGTAAAGATGTAATCAATTTTATAATCAACAGTAAACTTTATTAGTCATCGTACAATTTCGTTAATAAAAGTAATATGGCGTATAAAATTTATTGTTCTTCGCCAATATGGGTAATATTCGCCGCTCCTAATTATATGAAATTCCCACATCCCGGTCAAGAAAGGGGATGTCCCAAATTGTACTACCGTTTTATTACGTTCTCTTGTGGTGTGGTCGTCCATGAATTATATTGTACTGAGCACTGACCTTATCTGAGGAATTCGATCAATTTGACAATCCAGTTTTGGTATGAATCTCGTAGCAATTACAAATTATCGCACCAATTAAATACTTGAACAAATAAAACGTGTTCAAAATTACTAGTCATGTAGGTAAGGTTTTTAAGTTTATCGCTTATAATAGCATTTATTTGTTAATTAAAATGATTTACTTTTTACAAAGCAATGATCAAGAATCGAACACAAAAATACTTGTATAGTGTAGATAAATACTTTACTTTCTTTTGAAGGTGCTGCCAGGTCGGCCCTCTGTCGCCACTCGGGTTAGGCAAAATGTTATTAAGTTATTTGTAATTTGGTGCCGATGGTCCTTGAAGTCCATTAACTCAGTCGAAGAAGTGAAAAGGATCTACGCTCTAAAAACCGCCTATGAGAAAGGCTACTGGGGTCCTTAAAAAGTTGTAACGTTAAAAACAGACGTACATTGATTTTTTAAACCGCTAAATAACTGAAATATTATAGACCTTTTATTTTATTCACGAAGTTTCACATAAACTTGGAAAGCTATCGACGCTTCTTTAATTTATTACTTAATTAAAATTTAGTTACCGCATCGCATTGGTATGGGGCCATAATAATAAAAATTCGTGATACTTCAATCTTGATGAATGAATCCTTATATTGTTTGAAGTGAATATAAACAGCTCCAAAATTACAATCCTAATTTGGTAATGACAACAATAATAATAAATAAAAATAAAAAGACGCATTGAGATAAAGTTTATTCGTTCGTTCATTTGAATTTTGTTAATTTTATTTTCCCACCGCTAGGCATGCCAATCCTCCATAGACAGCAGATAGTTTGAGGGCGTAGCCCACTCACCTTCATTTTCTAGGCCCGGCACACTTAAAACGACTACCGCCACTAAATTAGAACTGATGCCGACAGCTTAACGGGCACCATAAGGCACGGGGTTGATAACTCCTAGTCCCGAATTTCTGGGTAGTACTTCTTCTAAGACGAATTCCAAATTCCAAACTAACACTCCGCCCGAACCGAGTCTGCAGTTGTTACCACTAGAATGAGACCAAAAAGGCTGTCTTTATACTTAATCGTTATATTATAGGTACGTTACGACTATCTGTGTTGGTTACAACTTGATATCATACAATATTTAACACAAAAATAATATTTCAATTCGAACCAGCAGTTCCTAAGATTAGCGCGTTTAAACAAACAAACTCTTCTTTTCTTTAATATTATATTATTATAGATTATTATTACTAGTTAACTAAGAAGGTAAGCTTCTTTAGGAGTATGGGTATAAACCTTGACTTTTAACCTGTCTTAGTAAATCACATTTCTCTAAAAACAGCTTTAAATATTTGCAAATAAAAACTCCAATGCTAAAATTTCCCAAAATACAAGTCACTCAGACATATTTATGACTGCTAAATATGGAATTATAACAGCGTCGCTGTCATTTTAGCAAGTATAATACAATATTCTCAGAAGAAAAATAAAACCCAGATTTACTTAAATAACTTAGCCACGTCCCACAATAATTTAAAAGCTATCTATCTTAAAAACTTTGAGACATAGCTTTGAACTCTCGATGTTTATTTAGTGTTTGTGGATGTATTAAAGACAAACAACGACATTCTTCGTTTTAAAAAATGTTTATCCTAAGGTGGTCTTGGGAAACGATCAGATGTAATATATATTTCTCCAAAAAATATAAAGATTTCCAAAAGTACCCTCAGATATTGTATCTAGTCAAAATCGATTGAAATTGTGCCAGTCATTTTCAAAGGTCATATAAATTATGTTACACATAATATATCTGCGGTTTACTAATATATAAAGCTGAAGAGTTCGTTTGTTTGTTTGAACGTGCTTATCCCAAGAACTATTGGTTCAAATTGATTTTTTTTTGTATTGGTTAGAGCTGTTATCGAGGAAAGCTATAGGCTATAAAACATAGCGCTGTGACTAATATGTTGACGAAGAAACTAGTCGCTGGGAAATGTTAAGATACCCAAAATATATGTAGAAAAGAATGATTTCTCCTTAAATGATATCAAAAAGTCCGTGACAGTATATGTCTATCTTTTAAGATTAACTTGTAAGAACGACGGGACGCGGACGACGTCGTGGGTAACAGTTTAAATTTATAGGTGCGCAAGATTTTTGCAATAACAAAAATTGATACCCAAAATAACGATTCTCGAAGACGCAGTCGCTGGCACAGCTAGCCTTAAATATCGATGATATTGACTTACCTATTGCTAAAGTCACCTTAGATATTTTTGAAATACATAATATTTTTCTTGGACGATAAGGAAAATATTTTCTTCATAATAAATTTATTTATATTTGATTTGGGATTAAAAAGTAAAGTGTAGTAACATAGTAAGAACATTAGCCGCATTATACAAAAGACGATTTGTCACACATACGAATGACAGTTGAATTCAAATCCATTAAAACGGCGCAAACATAACAATATGGATAGTTTAAAATGAAAATTATGGCATATATATTAATTGAAAAGGTATGCGAAGGTTGACTTCAACATTCTGTCTTAACTTTAGTTTTGTCTAATCTATACAAATATATAACGCTGAAGAGTTTGTTTGTTTGCTGTTTGAACGCACTATTCTCAGGAACTATTGGTTCGAATTGAAAAAAATATTTTTGTGTTGGATAGAGCAACTATCGAGGAAGGTTATAAAACGCGCTTTGACTTGGAAATGGGTAAAAAACGGGAAAATATGTAATCTCTGTGAGTTTCCGATGCGTACGTTGTAAAAACGGTTCGAGTAACCCAAAATACGTTTAAAATAGTGATTCCTCATTAAATAATCTAAAAAAATATGTGTGACATTATATATCTATCTTTTAAATTAACTTGCAAAAACAACGAGGACAGGACTAACGTAGTGGGTAAAAACTTTAAATATTACCAAATAACTTTGCATAAACAGATTTGGATGCCCAAAATAATTCTACGTGGACGAAGTTGCTGTCGCAGCTAGTGTCTAAATTCATATATTTGGCACGTGGTTGAATATTTTATATCTCAATACTTTTACTATAAATTAAAACTACAAATGTCAATTGAAACATACATATTATGTTGATATAATTAAATTCAACAATCCAATTTCGTCATCCGTAATTTAAAAACAGAAAGTCTAGAATTTATTTTGATTTGATTTTTGTACTATTTTATTATACAGGAAAGACGGTTTAAAAAAACATAGTAAGACATATTTTATAAGTAAATGTCATGATGTACCCATATTGGCGCTTGCGCAGATTAAGAAATCTAGTAATACACGAGTTGCTGAAAATAGTCTCATTGTGTCCGCCAACCTTGAAAGTAAAAAGAAGGTATTAAAATTCGAACCACTCACAAAACTTTTGCTTACAACCAACTAGTTATAACTAAGAGGCAAGATTAATTACCTACGCACTCTTTGTTTGGCATAAAATAAGAGTCAATGCATTAAAAGACAAGAAAAAAATGGCGCACACACAGAACTTGTACAGAAAGTATTAAAAATCGGTAATAGATTTAAAAAATGTACAACTCGGACAGGACTTGAACCGGCATCAGCAGCGCTCCGTGCTGTTGCTCTAACCAATTGAGCAAAATCGGTAGCTCGGTAATTAACCCGTTAGCTAGATTTTTAATTAATATCGTGCGATCATGTGAAAAATGTTAAAGTTTCCAAACATACAAGAAGAAGTTACCGAATAACATAGATATGTGTTGACAATTGTTAATATAGAGAAGTACACACAATCTGTTAGTAAGTTAATTTTTTATCCTTTCGTAGTAGAAATTTTTAAGACTTATCAGTGAGTACGCCGGATATTACCTTCGTCAAAAGCGCAATTTAACGTCAAATATAAATATTATTCACAAGTGTATACATATTTTATTTTATGACAGATAGGAACCGACAAGGGATTCGCTTGAGACGGTGTATAGAAGATTTATAACATGTAATTAGGATGTGCTATCGCCCTATTTTGACTTTTTATTCTAAATCCACACATCCAAGTTTACTATTCACAGCTTACTACATAATTTAACCTTAATTCATCCTTTCTCTAATCCATTTTAGTGTTAAAATGTCCTCAAAAAAACAACTACTAACGTAGGTACTTTATAAGTTTTTAACAACTTATCTATTATATTATTATTAACAATTCTAGTCGTGCATACAAAGGGCCACTTAACCAATCTAAAATGTGTTGTGTAATGCAACCTACATGTTTGTTATGAAAGGAAGCAAACTAGACTCATATTAATACTAATCTTGACCTGTAACGGAATTGCAGTCCTCTCCGCGAGCCGATCTCAGCTGTTATTTTTTTTAAATGAACGCAGTATATAAAAGTGTTGCGAACGTGCGGTCCTTTTTCTCCAACTCAGAGGTCGTGTGATCACACCACACTGCAGTTCAAGATGATCAAACACTGCCTTTGTACGGTTCTCGTCCTGATGTATTGTGTTAGTTATTGTGACGGACAAGTGTTTAGTTTCAGGAATTATGAGACAGGTACTGTGTTATTTGCTAAGCTTATTACTGTTTTAACAATCAAAAATATAAATGAGTTAAAGAAAACTATTTTAAAAGTAAAAACAAACAACAATTCGTCCATACGATATTTAGTCCGAATTAATGAAATACTTTTAAAAGTTCGCTAATATTTAAATAAGAACATACATCGTATAGATGAAAGTATGTTTCGATGACATAAATAAGCTATAAATAGTTTACCTTATTCTTTGACAGATCACTTACATTACTTACAATAATTAGAATCCATTTTAATATTAACTATTATCGAGATAATGTATGAGTTAATGTATCGCTTGTACGCGAACATAAATTAACAAATATATTTATCGTTTTAAGCCGTAAAGTGTTTTATTTAATGTGTACTTGCGTGAACTACAAACAATATTAGAATAGATAGATATTTTGGTGTGGTTATTGTACTTAACAGTCTACATTCAATATTTCTTTCTTTATCCACTTTTTCAAAACGATGATTTTTGGTAAAATACTAAAACTATTACTAATTTATGTTGCATATTTTTAATTTAGTACGATATAAAGATGATTTCTCTTTAAATGATTTAAAAAAAGTCCGCGACAGTGTATGTCTATCTTTTAAAATTATCTTGCAAAAACGACGGCGCGGACGCGACGTCGTGGGTATCAGCTCAAATTTATAGAGTTGAACAGGAGGTTTGGGAAAACGAGAATTGATACCTAAAATATTTATTCTACGAGTACGAAGTCGCTGACTCATCTAGTAGGTTATACCGCCTCTGTGGTGTAGGTTAGGATTACATTAAGCGCAAGACGTACGAAGTAAACTATTAAACGAAGTAAATATATTAAACATTGTCGGCGGGACTAGCTACAGAAGATGTATCAACTGTAAATAAAATCGATAAGTAAACGGACACAGAAAAGTGTCCCATAGGGCAACATCAACATAATAAAAACACTTCATAATTATTCATTTGTTACAGATTATTATATGATAATCTTATCCCAAGCAAAATAGGTATAATTATACCGACTTATTTTAGAGCTATGAGGAAGTTTTTCAAAGGCTCGTCAAGCAGCTTTGTGTATGAAGTATCTCAAACTTGTTGTTAAAAACACAAAGGTACCACCGAGACCTTGGAATAAAACCCAACTATGTCTGGAAAAGCTGGGTCGATGACACCTCAATGCCTTTAAATAGGTTACGAAAAGAAACCGAAAAAAAATTAATACTGTCTATAGTTTATGCGAGTAGTACACATTTAAATAAAACACTTTAACGGTTTAAAACGCGATATATTAGTTAAACTTATTTTAAAATGATTTTTAACTCGGCCCGACGTTCTCCCTCGGTTCGCCTGGTCTCCCCGTGACCACGACTGCTGCAAAGCAACCGAAACGTCGGGCCGAAGTTAAAAACCATTTTCAGATAAGTTTAACTAATATATCGCGTTTTAAACCGTTAAAGTGTTTTTAATTAAACGAACAAATTTAATCGTTTAATAATTTCGAGTTTTAAAAGTAACAGTTATTTTTATCTATAGGACGTTCAATAACTACTCTGTCATACATACAAACCATATATCATAATGCAAAGCAGATGCACTGTCTCCGATTTTTTTTTTTGATAGAGGACAAACAAGTATGGGGTTAAAAATCGATTGAAGATTGAAAGTTTTACGACATGGGCAGGTCTTGAAGCGGCATCTACAGCGTTCCGTGTCTCTAACCAATTGAGCTACCGTGTCCGACACTATTTCAAGTTTTTAATAGTTTCTGTTCACTTGATGGTAAAATACCCCAGCCATAAAAATCTAAACAAGACGTGCTGTCAACTACTTTGGCTTTAGACATTCAAAAATGACAATAAAACTACAACAGATTAATCCAAAAACGAACGAAAGAATTTTGCGTATTCAAAAAAATATCTTAAAATTCCTAAGTGTGCAACCGAATTAGAATTTTTATCTCAAATACTAAATTAATTTCTCTCACTAAACCTTGCGAATATCACTTACAATTCGTAAAAGTTGCATTAAACGACCTCGTTACATAATTTCGAATATATTTCCTGTCAGTTATTTAGGTATTAATAAACAAACATTAAAATAAATTCTATTAAGATTATTGAATATTATAAACTGGATATACAAATTACTTATTTATTTAAAGTGTCTGAATATTACTATAATATTACGCTTCTAATATTTATTTAAAACTAAATTAAATAAATATATTATTTTAAGGAAATCCTATTTTATGTGGGACCAAACGACCAAATGGACTTTAGATACTCGTTATTTTAAAACGTAATGTTAACGGTACGAGTTTGTTTGTTTGTTAAGCAATTTCAGGGACTGCTGGTTAGTTTTTTTGCGTTGTTTGAACTATTTATCAAGGAAGGCTGTAAAAATTAAATTATATTAAATATCAGGCTGCGCCAATATGAGCAAAATAACAAATAGGGGAAAGGCAAAAAAAAAAATCATATTTGAAACCCTCCACTCTTCCAGTCGCAAGAACGACAGGACGCAGACGACGTCGTAGATAACGGCTATAACTTATAAAGCAAGAGGGTTGCTTGCAAATACATTTTGTAGCAAATAACTATTCCATGCGGACAAAGTCGCGGGCACAGCTAGTTAAAAAAAAACTAATCCGACAACTTACAGTAATGTTCAAGCTAAGCTTCTTTGTAAAACATCTTGCTAGTGTAGGCTATGCGATAAAATCTTTTCTGGTGATTTATTACTATAATACTTTTTATGAGCGTAAATTGAGTTGGTAACTGTACATCCGCGGTGTCAATAAACCTATTGAACTTTTTACTATGGTTATTACTTATTTTCGATGTAATCACGCCATCGACCTAAATGCCGCTCGATCACTTTGAATTAAGATTTTGACAGCTATTAGCGACCAGATAATTATATTTTATAAGTTTTAAACCATCAAGATAGATCGATCATGAAATAATCACGGCTCGTTGGTAAAGGTAGCAATGTATGGCTTAAACTAACGTGTCATGGGTTTGATCCCCACTGTGTCCAACGTGTTTCAAATTTTCAATTTATAATTTTTACCTCTACTATGTACTACTACGTCTGGAAATCTGTATATTAAATCGGTGGACTATAGAAATTCCGTCCGGCTCACGAACTACCGTCCACAGATGAAAAAGCCTTGCAGAATCGTGTAACGCTTTAGTCTTTGTTTCCGAATATCCAAAGCCAAAATAGGTCGACAACCTGTTTAGATGCGATAGGCTGGGATATATCATCTACCATCCAGTGGACCCCATGATTGTCTGCCCTGCTCTATCATTAAAAAAGACATATTAATGTGTCCTATACCTCACGACGAATATAAGTTTTGCCTCTTTCTTATCTTTCAGAAATAGTTACAGATCTGTATTTATCTTGCGAATGAATAGAAATAGGGAAAGAGAATGACACTATAGTGTGTATATATTAGGTATTACGTACGTAGTAACCATTATAATAATATCTTTAAACCAAGATTGTTATGGAAATATTGCATACACTACTACGAATAATACATGGTATTTCTTTGAGTATTGTCTGTTGTTTACGCGAGTTGTATACATTTAAATAAAATACTTTTAACGGTTTAGAATGCGAAATATATTAGTTAACATATTTTTAATTTAATGTAACTACGGCCCTCAGATCAGCCCACAAAGCCGCTTAGTTAAATAAAATAAAATAGGTAAGGCATGTAATATTTATCAAGTTTTAAACTGTTGTGTTAAACCTATTTCATTTTGTTATTCAAACATACCAGGTTTTTCTGTCATACGCATAATATAATCAAAAGTTAAATAGTCGCAAAATCCTTCTAGGGATTCTTCTTATCAAAGTCTGACTCATACCACTCACACACTTGACTTAATTGTACGGTCAACAAAAAAAATATTGTGTACTTGCGGTAATTTTTTTCACTACGCTATTTCCTATGTTATGTGTTGTAATGTGTTATCTTTATAGGTTTAACATATCTATTATAAATCAAAGAACATAATATTCCCAGCGTCAACTGAGCCGCCCCTGCCGTTCCCAGCCTGTCGTGCAGATAACATAGAATGCCTCCGTCGTGGATTGAGGACCTTCTTCTTCCTAATGGATTCGAGGCATTTGGGAATGACCCCCGTCGACCCCTTGATATTAAACAGCGTGGCAGTGTCTGTTCCTGAGGAGCAGATGTCGTTTTTGTTGAGAAAGGTCAACGTTACGGGTGCGAGATGGACTAAGCTAATTGATAGGAAGTATGGAACGCATCTTTCTTTACAGAACTATCTAGTTACTTTCTTAAACTTATAACGACTGTTGGAAGTATAACTGGAGCACATTATCTAAACCGACATTATAAAGCTGAAGCGTATGTTTGAACGCGCTAACCTCAGAAACTACTGGGTTGAGCCGCAGTAACCAGAAGTCGAAATAAATGTATTATTTACCAAATATTTGATATATTAAGGAATGTAAGTATAAACGTTAGTGGTTCGTTTGCGAGACAGATTCAGATTGAAGAAACTTTTATGAAACCATAAAGATAATAAAAATCTAGTAAACTGTATATACACTTCGATAATTTCAACGAATTCCGTATCGGGGATGTAACTCAGTGGTAGAGTGTCTGCTTCGCATGCTGAAAGTCCTGGGTTCAAATCCCAGCATCTCCAACCTGTGACAAATTTTTTTTTTTTTTTTACTATGTGCCTGAGAAAAAGTTTTTCTATCGATATTGTTATATTATGTGATAGCACAGCAACGAAGATTTATTTTTAATATTTTCTTTCTATCGCAGATTCCATGTGAATAATGGGAAAAACAGCGTTCGCTTCAAAAGTGACTTGCACGTTATTGGAGAAATGATAATGACATTAGCCGGTCGATCCGATCCCTTCGTGTCGCTAATAACAATAGACATAAGTTAGTAAACCAGTTTTATTAATCATTTCTTTTGATATATTCTTAAAGTAATTAAATCAGACCTGATACTTGGGTTTCTGAAGTGATGTTTGTTATTGTTTCTATTTTCCGGTCACAACAGTTTCTCATTTAAAACTTGATAACAGTAGTAAATATACAATTTTATATAGGTATACTTGCCTAATGGACTGGATACTTGTAGCATCGCTTGCTAGGGGCATTATACATTTATGGGTACTCGTATGACAATAATAGATATATTAATTATGTAGGTCATTAAGTTTTTTTAAAAAAATATATATATATTAACAGATATGCAAACATTAAAATAAATAATATACAATATAATATTATGTTAGTACTCATTATTACAGGGATTAAGAATCACGCCATCTAGTGTCAATACATCAAAATGATTACATTAAAAGGAGCACTAAGGATGTAGTGGCATCTATAATTATTTGATATCACTTATTATTTCATTGTATGTCTGTTACCCCAAAAGTTTTCTATTAAATAAAAACAAATATTTTGTCCAGATGACGTCGAAAGCAACATCACTTACGCGTGGACGGGACAACGGGGCTACGACAATGAAGACTATATATTAATTGGTCAAGAGAGAGTGGCAGTTAGGAACACTAGGACCCCATCATTCTTCTTACAACCTAGTAAGATTATAGTAACTTCATGAATTGGGCTGGAACACCTCTATCAATTACTCTACTTCATACTTACACATTAATTATCATTGTCTACTTACTTCTGTTTCTTCTATGCATATTAAATCATGTTTATATCATTTTAGCCTTTAACGAGACAAATACTGACACTGAAGGTAAGATTTCTACTGTTTCCTCTATCATGCATGCATTCTGCTTATTCTACCTACAATATTATAATAACTAACTTGTTGACTATTTTCAGGTGTTTCATTTATTCTTTAATATAAGCATTAAATTCAATAATATATTTGTTTTCGCAGGAGGAACTCAAGACTCTTACATGATGGAAAGAATATTGCTTTCCAAGAGTGCAATATTAGATCATTTAGCAAATGAGGTGACAGTAGCATTAATGCACACAGTTGTGGATAATTTTAGATTGTTTGCAAATCAGATAGCAGTTAAGAATTATTATATTTACAATTCATAATAAAATTACTATAAAAATGTAAAAGATACATTATAGTTTTATTTTCTCCTTTCAGTACATAATGATTCATTTTCAAAAAGCAACCACATAACCATTAAAGACAGTTCAACGTAACTATATAAACAATTAGATCAGAAAGCATCACCTAGTGATTCTTCGACAAACTTCTTATAAATAGCCATAAATTTTGCAACAAATGCTTCAAGATGGAATATTGCTTTGTTCCCTAGTCTCATTCTGTGTTCAAACATAGCAGCATGGCTAGCGACTTGACATTTCATAGCCATATCACAATTTCTAACCAGCTCTTTCAATAAACCAGCGAATATCATATCAGGAGGAACACCATGTATAATTAATTCATATAGCTTCTGTCGCACTTCACTTAGCTTCTTCGGAGATTGTTCTGATAGAATCATTGATGCAGTCTCTTTAATAAACAACTGCCAGTCTGGTTCAGGTACTTTTTGATCAGGTTTGAATGGATATTGTTGAACTTTGCAAGCTTCACACATCAATAATGCTCGTCTTAAATTGCGATCCGAAATTTTCGCTATACGCGTTGCAAGTTCTGGTGGTAAACTCAATCCTTCTTTCTTACAAACTGTATGTAGCACACTACATATTTCATCTTCTGTTGGTGCTGGTACTCGGATAGTTAAACAACGCGATCGTATGGCTGGTATCACCCGTGAAATAGAATTGGCTAATAGAATTAATCGACAGGTAGCAACATATTTCTCCATAGTCCGACGTAAGGCATGCTGGGCGTCTTTTGTTAAGTCATCTACTTCATTCAATATAACTACTTTAAATTCACGTTGCCCAGAAGAATCAATTTGGTGAGTTTGAGCAACGTTCTTTACAAGATCCATGATAACAACTCTGTCATAGATTCCAACATCAGTGGGATTAACCTCAATGTGATAATTACTGCTGACTGTCATTATCTCAATCTTCTTGTTGGATGGTGTTGTAAAGTGCATTGTTTCTTGACGTAGACGTTCAGCACCAGATCCATACAACTCCCGTAACAAGCACATGATCCTTGTTTTCTTACCGGCTCCCGAAGGTCCATAAACGAGAAGATGGGGGAAATCACTCTGTTGAACTAGACTTTTCAACCTTATTGCTTGATCTTTATGGTAGTCTAACTTGAGCAGATCCTTTGGGCGATGTTTGTCAACCCAGAGACTCATAGTTCAGACTGATCTTAACAGAATTTTTGTATGCAAAAATCTCTCAGGATTAGGTTTAACGGATGGCAAGTTTTAAGACTTTCTAGTTTTAATTATTTTTTCCTTTATAATTATCTAAAAAATAATAATGAACTTGAAAACTTTCGTTTTATCAATTCAACAAATTGACTTTTCGCGGGAGCAGAATAACGTTGTAGTTGAAACTACAGATCATAAATGCCACAGCACCTGTGTAGCAACGCAATTAATGCTATGTTTATATGATAAGATGACAGAGGAGGCTTTGGAATAATCGACCATACTATCCACTTGTTACGAAAATATAAAACTTTCCACCAAGTATTTCAAGATATATTATATATTACAAATTCATGATATTAATAGGTTATACGTTACGAGCTAAAAATGTAACTCTAAATGGCAATAGAAGTACTGTCAATGTCAAAATATATTTTCAACAGCTGTGAATTGACAGAGTTACTAGTGCATTTTTTGGTTTGTTCTGTCGTTAGACGGTAATAAATACTTGTTTATAAAGATTTACGGCATTGTTTGAATCATATGTTAATTAACAGAAAATATTTAAAGTAATGTGTGAAAAAGGTGAATTCCCATCAGAGCTGGTGTTAGCTTGAAGTTCTGCTCAATGCCAATCGATTTCAAATATCATACGGACATGTTGAAAATGAGATACTTGTATGGTGTTCTATTACAAATCTTGTTCTTGTTACATTATGTTTACTGTGAAGATTTCAATCTATTTGGTGAAGCGGGACAAGCCTATGCTCTAGTAGTCTACATAGGACATCCACCACAAAAGGTATTCGAGAGTTTATCAAACTAATAAACAACAAAAACAGCTTTACTACAAAGTCAGCTTGCTACGTTAAAAGGCTTCAAATATTGATTTACGCCTAAGCTTCACACATGAAACGGGTTGTAATTTGATAATGTTTAGTGAGGTGTAATAATGCAGTCTGGCCATTAGTGTAGAGACAAGCTAAGTATATATAAATAATATGAGCCTTTTTCAGCTTCACGTATTGGTTGACACTGGAAGTACTACTTTAGCTATAGCTGCATATGCTAGAAAAGATAGTAACATTTACTACCATGAAGGAAATTCTACTACTTTATACAACAGTGGTAAAGAGGTGAGTATATTTAGTGTTTTTTTTTTTTAATTTTGCATAAATTGAAGTATCATCATAGAATTTCTGGATTCTTTTGACTTTGGATAATTAGAAATAGTTGTATAAAAATACTTTGTTATCCTTACTTCCTTACTAATATTATAAATGCAAAAGTAACTCTGTCTGTCTGTTTGTTACTCTTTTACACCGAAACTACTGAACGGATTTGAATGAAATTTGGTATACAGATGGTCTAGACCTTGAGAAAGAACATAGGCTATATTTTTATTGCAAATAGGGGTTAAAAGGGGGGGGTGAATCTTTGTATGGAAATTCATGGTTTTTGAAGCTAGAACAATGAAACTTTCTTCTCTGGCTTTTTGGGAATAGGAGTGAGAGAGATAGAGTGATGAGTGTTGCGGCAAAGTAGCACTTACAACATAGATTGGCTGTGATAAATGCTCAATTACATAAATTAATAAACAGTCACTATTCCACATGAACGAAGTCGCAGGCACAGCTAGTAAGTAATAAGCTTCTGAGTATCCAATACCAAAATAGGTAACCTGTCCATCATGTTTAAATGTTATAAAGCTGGTGTATTTCACCTCCCATCTAGTGAACCCCCATGCTCGTGTGTCCTCCTCTATATAAAAGCTTGCTTCCACTGAATCAACTTTAAATTTGTGATAATTCTATGTCTTCTACATACATTATCTATGTGGCATACCTAATTCACATAAAAGAGAGAACATTAGTATAAAGTACATATTATAACATTTTATTCTTCAGGTCCAGGCAAAGTATTCTCAAGGCACCTGGAGTGGACAATTAGCATCTGACTTCATACAATTTCCTTCCTTGCCATCAATACCAGAAGTGAGAAGTGACTTAGCGCTTATTACTAAAAGCTATAAATTTTTCATGAATGGTTCAGGATGGCAGGTAATTACTATTAGTATTATAAGGCAGAGAATATGAAATATATTGAGTTAGCAATTTTATTAAATAATAAATCTTCCTTCTATGTTCTGTAGTTAACTCAAGTACAGTTCTCTGGCCAAAAAGTTTGCAGAGCACTGTAGTAGACATTGAAATAAAACACTTTTAACTTGAAGTGCAAAATATAATATTTGTTGAACTTATTTAATATTTGCTTTAACTACGACCCAACCTTTCGGATACTTTGCAGCAACAGTGGTCATGGGTGTTGTCAATTTTCTTTAAATTCAGATTAATCAATTATCAATGCATGTAAATGAAGTTTGTTGTTTGAAGATTTTAATAAAATATGGTCTCTCTTCCAGGGTCTACTTGGCTTAGCCTATCTGCCAGTTGCTGCTTGGGGGGAAAATGTTGTTGTTGGTTCTTGGTTAGATTTCCTTGAGAAATCTGTTAAAAAGCCAATGTCTTTTGAATTAAAACTCTGTGGTACACAAAGTCCCGTAAATGCGACACATTATGGTAAATTGACAATGTTTGGTAAGTACTTCCAATATTGATATTTATATTTGTTATGCTGATCAAAGTCTGATGGTATGCAAGGTAACATGATGGTATTCAACTCTTGTTACAATATTCATAGTACTAATTACATACACAGGTGCTCCTTGTTTTTTTTTTTTTTTATCTAGAATCACATTTTAAAAATAGAATATGCGCAAGTTTAGTTTGGGAAAAGAAATTCTTTTACAATTCGCAAAAAAACATCTTATTATAGCTATAGACATTTGAATGAAATACAATCATTGATAACTGGTATTTGCCACATCTTTATATTTACAATACACTATAATACACTCGGCGTCAAAAAAATCGCACCTTTTGAAATTTTGACTTCAAGCGAATAATACTCTTAACTTACTTATTGTACCCTACCAAAATTTATATCATTTGAAAGCACAATTAATACACTTTTAAAATTTTTTCTTACCGGACCTGTTCAAGTGTGACTTCTGTGATGTCTGGATAGCTAATGAACCATAAATAATTTCTCCTCCCCCCTTTTATTCGTGTACAAGGTGGCACAAGTAGTGAGCCCTCTAATGAGCTTTTCAGCACTTTATTTTAAAGTCCCTAACGTTTCGTGATTATTGTTTTTACAGAAAAGAACGATACGCATTTTTAAAGTGTATTAATTGTGCTTTCAAATGATATTCATTTTGGTACGGTACAATAAATAAGTTAAGAGTATTATTCGCTTGAAGTCAACATTTCAAAAGATCCGATTTTTTTGACGCCGAGTATATGCACAATAATGTACATTATATAAATAATAGTATGGAAAAATTTACCAACTATTGCGTTTTTTGCTATGTAGAAAATAAATTAACTGTGTTGTTTATTATATTTCAGACGATAACAATGCAACTGAAATTAGAGACTTTGTGTATCGTACGCCAATTTTAAGAAAGAGGTGGTATGAAGTGGGCGTTTTATCTATACGCCTGTTAAATACGACAAAGAGTAACAATCTTACCGAATCGCTTAAAGGAAACAAAACCAGTGATTTCAACTTAAATACAATAAATATCGATAATTGTCGTGAATTGAATATTGAGAAAAGTATAGTGGATAGTGGAACAACAAGTATAAGGATGCCAGATGCTATATTTCGTCAAGTATGTTGCATTTATTATATAGTTTATGCCAGTATTTAAAAAAATATGAAATGTAAACTATTTTCGGTTATAGTTTTTTGTTTTCTATTTTATACGTAAATAAAGAATTTTGTGCCATTACAGGTCGTAAATGAATTGAGGAATTCAGCTCAAGTGTCAAACATGCTAATATTAGATGAGTTTTGGTATCACGGAGAGGTAATCTTTTTTTTTATTAAGAAATTATTTAAAAAATAGTGAAATATGCAGTTCAAGAGTTTTTTTTGAAATGTTAGACTTAGATTATTAAATTCAAAGTCAAAGTCAAAAACATTTATTCACGTAGGTAACTAGGTGACACGCACTAATGAACATCACAACGGGTAAAAACTAAAGACTAAATTTGCATTTACTACCAGTTCTCAAATCAACGGCGTAGAATGAATGAGAAAACTTAGCTAGAATCTCGTCGTCACTCCTTTTATTCTTTTATAATGTCAATTAATATTCACTAAACATGCAACTATTTGTATTTGTAATGGTTTTGTTATCTTCAAACCTATTAAAATAGAGGAGGCTATATCAGGCTATATAACATATTAAAAAGACTTAAATGTTTGTTAAATTTTCAGGCAGCATGTTGGCCGGAGCCTCAAGATTGGTATTTGCCATCGCTGGCTATTGATATACTTAGTACTGAGGCTGACAATCAATATTTCACATTAGAAATACCAGCACAGGTAAATATAATGCATTTTTTTATATATGTTAGGAATGTATTCTTCAACCTTATTTTTATTATCTTTTATTGTAAATCAAGATTAATATTATGGCGTTTGTAGCTTACGCGAATTGTGCACATTTAAATTAAATACTTAAAATGGTTTAAAACGCCAAATGTATCAGTTATCTTATACTTGATTTATAATAACTACCACCTTACGTTTCGGATGCTTCGCAGCCGTGATTCAAGTGGATTGGGGGAGGGGGGGTCACGACCCGCTAAAAGTACTTAAATTACTATTAAGTTTTACTTAATTACGTTAAAACTTTAAAACACGAAATATTTAAGTCGAATTAATTGTAATATTTAATACTACTTTGTTTTTTTTTAATATACCAGTCTCATAAACTATTATACAAATTATGTCTTTTTTAAATTTGACAGAATTTTATGCGAGTAATAACGGCCCGCAATAATACAGCAGCGACTGGTACAGTCTCGGAATTTTGCTACAAATTGGGACTTGAAGCTGGCGGTAAGGAGACTGTATTAGGATACACCGCCATGGAGGGACTTCAGGTACCCATTATATTGTTTTATAGACGCAGCTTTTGAAAAAAAAATCGATAAGGAGAAAAATAAAAATGGCAATATTAATAGCCGAAAATTATTTTAACTATTATTTGTGTTGCCAAAAACTTTCGATCACTGTGCTCTTATATGCAGATTAACATTTTAAGACTATGAAAATATAAATAACTCAAGTCATAAAATTGCAGTTCGGTAACTCTGCCTCTACCAAGCTTCAAGTATCTTGTCATAAGCTGAGGTAAATTATTTAATACGAAATTTTATGAGCTATTAAAATTCCAGGTACTATTCAATAGATCAGCCGGCTGGATAGGGTGGAAGGAATCTAGTTGCGGGCCAAACGCTCGGGTCACTGGCCCATTTAACACGACCAAATCGCTACTGTACATGTGCCAACTAACTGAACAGCTACCTGACGTCAACGTATCTATCAAGGCCGCGCAATGGACGCTGTGCGCTATATCCATAGTGGCTGCGGCAGTTCTGATATACCTCTTAGCGCCGTGCATTAAAATGTTCTTTATTCGTCCTTTACCCAGATCTCAACAAATTTCACTCTCCCAAGCAGCTTTAGTGGAACAGGAGACATAGATTCAAGTTTGAAAACGTGTGTGAAATAATTTTCAACTCCACCGTGATGGAGTAATTAAACTCAATTTCACCAACCGTTACACTCTTGGGTAGTCAGTGGTAACTTGTTTTGGTGAAATTGGCTTTAAAGCGAGCTATATTGCAGTATTTGAATAATGTTTCGAATTTAATGAATAATATGGAAATTAGTGTGATAGATATTTTTGTGATAACTTTTGATGTGTGCGTGAATTTTATATAATGACCGGCATTGTAATATAAAAACACGTGTTTGCTGTGTGATTTGTCTTGCCAGTCACTATTTTTTTAAGATAATAAGTTTAAAGCTAAATACGATATGTTTTCTAATACTTATTTACTTATTGTCATGATGTCATTACATAATTAATTACGTAATTTAAATTAAAAGTTCTAGGTTAGAATATTAAACTGGCAGCTACCTTTCTTCAATATGCCATACATTATAATATAATAGTTTTCTAGTTAAAAGTATTAAATAAACGTAATTCGACGGCTAGTCGCAATGTAAGAAATTTGTAAGGTTATAAGTTCGTACTTATGTATATCTCTGTATATTGGTTTTGATATGTTCCTTTTTTTTAAACCATCTAACAAATGTCAAATGGTTTTCTACTTGTTTGATTATTTTAAGGTTGTCTGAAATCATTTTAAAATAGATTTTAAGTGTACTATTTGTATACTTGTCTCAACAATAACGATATACCGCATAGATCTAAATATTTATGGAGTATTGATCAGTACTTTAACTGTACTTAGTTTTAATTTAAATCATTAATTCTTATTGTAACAACACTTTTCTGAAAGTCGTAAGTAGTATGATATAAAGAATTTATCTAGATCTAATTGTTTTTTCGAATTGTTCAGGTGTCGTAATTCTAGTGGTGGCAAACGTTGAGAACCATTTATTCCGACAAACAAAATGGCCGCGAAAGCCTTTATCTTATAACTAGAAATGATATAACAACAATAATGCGGCCTTGTAGACTTAGTTTAGTGTATCGATTGTGTCAATACGAAGTGACAAAATTTGTATCTAAGGAAAGTTGTGTACAGTATTTTTAGAAAATAATTCGGGCATTAACTCTCAAAGAGTCGAAATTTTAGGTAGAATCGGTAGCTAATTGGCAAATATTAGATTTAAACCGACATCCTTAATCATAATCATGAAATATTTACTATGTATAGCTTCTACAAGTTTCTCGAAGCTACTAATATTATGAAGCCGATCTAAAAAAAGTAATTTCAGATACTAGATGAGCCATTTTTCTGTTTAGGTCATGGCAGATAAATACTGTCTGTTGTTTACGCGTCAAGTACACATTATTAGTATTAGTTAAACTTATTTGAAAATTATATCAATGTTTCATGTCGGATACATTGAGTGCTTCTTTCCGTATCGTATTTTTTTGTTTCAATTTATAATTAAATAGTGCCATCATGTGCAGTGAAATATGAAAAAAACATTAATAGTTTAAAGTTTGTAATTTCATAGTCAACGATTTTCTTAAACTAAAAAGCATAAGACATTTGAGTTAAAATTACATTGCCCGGAAGGCGCTTGTATCATCAGGTTGAAAAACAGTCGATGATGACGTGTAGGACACGCTAGCTCAATTGGTTAGAGAAACAGCTCGGAACACCGTAGTTCACGTCCTGTCCGTGTCGTTTTTTTAGATAAATCGATTTTTAGTTTATTAAGTGTAAGGCCGTTTGTAACAAAGTTAAGCGTTGGCAGCCAAGATTATGAATAAGGGTGTTAGGTGTAGTTAGTCACGCCGACTTGGCGACATATCATAGATATTTTAATTAAAAACAACTCAGCTATTAGATAATCTCGTAATTACACTTTGAGTCGTAGATAATAAATTTAAACTTAAAAATGAAGACGTCCCCTTAATATAAGTATGTAGAACAAATTGCACTTGGTCCACGAAACGATATTTTTAGGTTAATAATAGCTTATTTCGTTTTAATTTAAATTAAACTTATATTTATGGTTTGTAGAAGTGAATTTAAAATAATGTAATTAACGAAACATTTCTCCCAAAAATTAAAATGTATTCTTAAAATAATATGTTTTGTGTGTAATAGGTTCCTTATTTCTCTGGCACTTTTACTTTTAAGTACTTTATAATGTTTTGAACGATATTTGTACGAATTAGCATGGTTGAAAAGTCTAGAAGCATTAATTATTAAAAACTCAACACAATTTTTAAATACTAGTTACCTGTAATCCAATGTCCAATATTTAAAAAAACATGTGGACTTTTTGTCCAAAAAACCCCTTATAAATTGTATTAATTGCTAATTATTCTAATGTCTTGTCTTATATCAAGGAACGTTTGTGTGACATTGTGTTGCCTTTTTTCTTAATAAGTTTATAATAATTTAATTGGGTCCAGACTGTCTTATGCATCCTAGTTACAAAACACACACATAGTTTTCCTCAATAAATATTTTTTGTCTCATAAAATCCTAGTTTCTGTATCTATTGGCGTAGTACTTAACGTCTATCAAGTTTTGATCATTTGGCAGTCCAAAACTACATATATAGATTGTTATTATGACGGGGTCAAATAGACCAACAAAGGCAAGAGTTAACACATAACCACAAAATTATATATTTACAATATAGATTTTTCAAACATATACCCATGGTTGTTTTATTTTTGTTTCTCTTCAAATAAACGTAGGTATCTGTACCTATATCTACATATTATAAACAGGCGTTTATTCTGCTGTGATATAACAATTCTTATTCCTCATTCGAGAAATGGTATAATCGGACTTAGTGGAATTATCGAGGTCCCAATAAGAGGTAGTGTCGGCCTGTTGATCGCTAAAGGTGAGGCTGGATGCCCACACTCCATGCGCAAGAGCATTTTTAAAATAAGAATATTTACTTTGAAGACACAAACCGAAAATCATTGTGAAACAAAAGACCTTTTGAGTAATAATAGTGACTAAAATACTATGAAAGTCATTCATGCATACTTGTCGATCCACTAATATAATGAAGGTTTGAAGTTATTTTTAGCTTTTGAGTTCTTTGTCGTTTTGGTATCGGGTATATTTTAAGTTAAAAATTTTGCAACAAAAAAGTAAACTTGAGAATTCCGCGAATACGGAAACGTGTGCTTTTTATTTTTGTAAAGTTTGCAAACTGTGGAGCGGGCTCACATTTCAAAAAACGTCGGTAGGCTTGATTCGAGCAGCTACATACTACATACATACTAAAACTATCTCACATCAATTTAATAACTTTTTCTCACTGCAACAATAAAATCGAAAATTCAATAAAAACCGATGTTAACTGAGATAGCGTAGGTACCGAAAGTGTGATCATACATATCTTATTAATTTTGCCTGGATTAAAATATCTACAGTATTTTTTATTTGTTTTAAACGGGCACGCGCTAATTAATCGCTTTTTATTATTGCTTTTTAGTTAAAGCACTTAACGATAAAGCGCACGCGATATAATATTATTATGTTTATGCATATTTTTTTATTCATGTCAGTTATATATAAACATCCAACAAAGTCTATGAAGCACTTAGTAAGTATCTAACTTTTACATAACCTTTGTTGAGCTTAAAATCTTTAATAAAAAGGAAAATTTGGCTTCGACGACATTACAAACTATAGAATACATAATCCTTTGGGGAATTGTTTTGGATGGAACTTACTGAATACCAGTAGAGCTTTATATTTATTGGGTAAAAAAAAATCGATTTGCAATTTATGATTTTAGAAATTTTTATGGTAGAGCAACAGCACGGAAAGCTGACGTATGCAAGTCCTGCAGTCAAAAATTTTTTCAATTTATTTTCGATTTATAAATTATATAGGGCTTCATGTGCAATAACATGCGAAAAATTAATGTTTTCAAATTTATGATTTTGTTACCCTTACTAAAGGTACTAAGTAAAATAAAATTATTATGACGTTATAAGAAGAAACGCATTTTTATTATAACTCAAAAAAACATTTGGTAGGAAACAATTTTTTACAATCAGTAAGTAGACAATAGGTTAAAGAAAAGTGGTCACAATGTTCTTCATGTCTTAGTACAAAATATCGTCAATCGGCTGTGTATGGAGATATGCTCGGAAAGCGTTGAAGACTTTAGAAGTCACTACATCGAGGATTGGTCGTCCATAAGTGGTTATTAGAACCTTCGACCAGCTTCGGTTTATAAATTTGTGGGCTGTATCACCTGAAAGAACACATTGAAATACAGAAGAAATTTTTTAAAAATCATGAAGTTAAAGCATTTTGAACCCCAGTTCCAATTACCTCATAATTTGCAATTAGAGAGAAGAATAATCTACTTTCCTACAGTTCGTAAATCTATGTAAGACTCCATTTTCCCTCTGGGGCATGGGGCAGACACAATTTTATTTACAAGTAAGTTCTACTCATCCGAAACAATTCCCCAAGGATTATCTATACTTTGTAATGTCGTCAAAGCCAAATTTTCCTTCTATTAAAGATTTTAATCTCAACAAAGATTATGTAAAAGTTAGATACTTACTAAGTGCTCTATTGCCTGCGAACAAATTACTGAAATTATACTCCACTTTGTCTTTAATATCGTAGGTGTATTTAAATCCTTTCAGATCAAAAACCCCTCGACCGGAGGCATCTTTTACGATATCGTACGGCATTACGAATTCAACTTGGAAGTTTTCTGAAAGAAGTACACAGTTACATAAATTTGTATATTTCAAATGTCGCTCTCATTTTCCTTAACCTGAGCAAACTATAATTATTGAAACAGTGAAATCGTAAGGACTGACAGTGTCACTTTTTGAAGTCCTATTATTTTTACAGTTTAAAAGTGTAAGTGCTTGTAAGGGACGCTATATATATTAGTTGAAATAATGTTCAAATACTTAACTTTAACTAATGCATATCATTGTCTTCGCTGGGGGCTGTTCGGCCGACGTGAGCGAGAATGAGAGAGATGTTAACTCCTCGATTGCTCGAAGAATTAGGAGATGTTAATTTTCGAGCAATCGAGAAGTTAACATCTCTATTGATGATGCCATCCGGACGTGATGGCGAAACGTCGAGAACCTATTCTCGCTCACGTCGGCCGAACAGCCCGAAAAACAATGATAAGCTGAACGATGGCCGTGAAAGCCTTACACAATGTATTAACCTAATATATCACGTTTTAAACCGTTAAAGTGTTTTATTTAAATGTGTACTACTCGCGTAAACTACAGACAGATTTAGCTTACGTTTTGCTAACTTGAAAGACCGTTAAAAACAGCAAAATTGTCTTACTAGAATTAATTTCCGCGTCACCATCTTCATTTATTGCGAATCCCAGGACTTCTCCGTCAATACTATAATGGCCCTTTACTACCGCATCAGTGTGCGATATAACCCGCATTTTCCTTGCAGCTGTGTCGATTCTATAAAGCAATATTTACTTGTAGGTTTTAACTATTAGTATAAATAATGTTTTGTATATTATAACAGGTAAAATACAAAAATTTAAAAAAGAAATAGTTACTTCGTTCTGATCTACATTTCATTCTTTTAATAATGATTCTTTCATTTAAAAAATCTATCCACGATTGGTAATGTATTTTTAGGTAACGTGAAAAACATTAGGTATCTTTCAAGTCTTATAATCTGCTGAATATTTAAAACCTACTAAATGTGACTAATAAAGATGAATATTATCCGAACATGTTAATTCACTAATTCAGTAATGTAAGGAATAGTTAGATTGTTCTTTTAAATAGTTCTTTCAGTTTCACAAATACAATACTCACTCTACTTTGTCAATAGCGAATCCATTTAAGCTCTTAACAATTGCCTTGTAAAAGTTTATTTTCAGACCAGCAATGTCTATCTCTGCGGCGTCTATGATCAGTGGGTCTAAAGATCTTGATGCTGCCTCCGACAAAACATTAGCAGCGATAGCTGGAGCTTTGAGTTGGACGTGCCTGGTAATGCAGTTTGAATCCCGGACGCTACATCTGCCTTTGTATGAAAGAGGATCTGCCATATGTTATGGGGTGTTAGCGCATACATTTTTAAACATAATTGTAAATTTAAAGAAAAACGTATCAGGGATTGAACAATCACTCTTCACTTTTGACGGATTTATTACAAAATAAAAACAAAGGGTAGTTTTTTATTTATCTAGCTTATAACTAATACAAGATTGTAGGATACAATTTTTAATAAAACACTTTAACTGTTTAAAACGCGATATATATTAATTAAACTTGAAAATTATTTTATCTACAGACCGACGTTTCGGATGATTTTCAAAAACCGTGGTCACTGGGAGACACTGCTGCAAAGCATCCGAAACGAAGACCCGTAGTTTAAATAATTTTCAAGTTTGACTGTATCATGTTTTAAACCCTTAAAGTGTTTTATTTAAAAGTGTACTATTCGCGTAAACTACTGCCACAAAGTTGGTTATTAATAATATTATTTAATACTTCTAGTAGTTCTACTACTTTATTTATTAGCGCTAGATTTTATTTCTCTACCATTATTTACTATAAGGTTTTAAATACACTTCAAAATTGTCACTTACTTGCACAATGAGTGATGGCTAACTGAATAGTCAATAACAATACGTATAAAATTGGTCGCATTTTGAATCCTTGCACTTCACTTCCACAAATATCTGGGGATGCAACTGGTTGCATTGTACCAAAATACCATCTTTTATATACAATAAGCAACTAGTTCCAAGGACCAAAAAACAAATAAAATGGTTCAGCACATTCCAAAAATGGCTCAAAATGATGTACCTATTTCAAAAATTATTGAATCATGTTGAAACTTCTAAAGTTTAACTAGATTATATATAAATATCGACGTACGCGCTCCATAATAAATAATTAAATATAATAATATCCAATAAACCTCTTAGGAGAATTTAATAATTGTAACTTTTGTCAAGTAAGCTTATTGAGCTATTAAAAGTATATGTATGTAAACCTACTAAATCTTTAGAAGCTTCCCTAGAGATAATCTACATTTTCATAAATATAGTTATCTAATGTATAAATGATGCAATATCTAAGTTTCCGATATATTCATCTAAATCTCATAAAGCTCCATATTCCTATCTATTCAAATAAGCTTTGATAAATCGTCTAGGGATACTATTTATCACTTTAAAATAGATCAAGAAACAATATTTTTCTCTGTGTTGCTCAAAGATCATGAAGTACATTCATAATGAACTTAGGCTCAAAATCTATTGTGTTAGTGTAAAGATTTTGAACATTGAGTCTCTCTAATTGTCTTCGAAGACATTTATTTAAAACTAGCTGTGCAAGCGACTTCATCCGCGTAGAGTAGTTATTTGGGCATCAAAAATTTGTTATAGCAAACTTGTTCCTCATTTTTATAAAGTACAACCATGTCATCCACGATGTCGGTCGAGTCCCATCGTTCTTGCACGTTCATCTTATGAGATGGTTAGTAGTTCTTGAAAATTCATCGTAAAATATAAACATGCTGTTGCGTGCTTTTCTTAAGATCATAATTTTTGGGTATCTTGAACCGTGTTAATAATTTACATTTTCAAATGTTTTTATTTTGTTTTACGGCCTCCCTTAGTAAATTTTTAACTAATGGGAAAACTATTATCCAATTCAAACCAGTAACTACACACATTGATTTCACACATTAATTTACATATAACTATATGTATATTAATGTGTGAAAACAAACAAAACAATCTTTTTAGCGTCATAATAGTAGTATAAAAAAATACAATAAAAATCTTATTTAGAAATGTTTAACAATTTGAGCAGCGTTGAATGAAAAGCATTGTGCGATATAAAGATTATTATCGTAAAATTAAATACGTCCTAAAAACGTTTCCTTCAATGGAGCGGAAACAGCCAATCTGACTTCGCTTTGCAACTAAGTAGTGACTGCAGCATTTTCTCAATGACGTGAAATTTTTGATAAAGATGTAAGGTATTCCGATTACGAATTCAGACTCGAGGAGTCTACATCAAGCTAAGAAGTACACAACGATAACAAACTCCGGAAAGATGGTTTTCGGACTGACTGCGGCACAACCGCAGTGTGGGCCTGAGTGTGAAGAGATGGACGAATGTTCATCTGGGTAAATAGGAAAGCATAAGAGAAGAGTAAAAGCCATCGTATGACGTTAAGCCCGAAAGTTCAAATTTCTAGAGGCATACGCAGGTACTTGTCTGTTAATGAAATTGATACTCATATTTATCTCTAGACTTTATTTTAAGGAAAGAGCTTTGTACAATTAGTAATAGTTTAAATTGAACTGGAACGATGTAAGTGCTATCCGTAACTTAACCCTATCCTGACCTCTCTGCTCTTCCTGTAATGGCAAACATTTGTATGCTTGCAATAAATGTGCCTAAAAGTCATCATCAGTTTTAATTTTTGTTAGATTTCAATATGTTCATTACCAACCTTTTAAATAGCTCATATTATTTTTTTTAACTTCGTACTAGACTATTCTAAAATAACCACGAAAGTTTTTATGAACATCTAAATAAATTCACTCTACTAAAAGCATTAGTAGTATTAACAGAATGTTATTTTTTTCTCATAACGTTGTGCTATTCAATGCTCTTTTATTTTTATCTAGACAATTTATTTAATGTATAATACACCTTAGAGCAACTAAAAATGATTATACTGATCAGCTATATACCTATATGTCTTTTTTGAAATGTGGTTCTATATCGATGCAGACTTGTTGAAACAAAAAGTTCCCTTCCGCATTCGCGCTATTTTTAAAAGTAAAATTAATTTTCAAAATATATTAAGATTCATAATCCATGGTAAAGAAATCAACCACTTAACGTTATAGTTCACTACAAAAATTACGATTTTATTATTTCGTATATATAAGACTTTCCTGAATATTAGTACATTTTAACAAACCTGAATAAACTACAAAAATTCAAGTGTTTTTCTAGTAAAATTCAAAAACCACTATTACGTTTTTTATTTCCAGTAATCAAATCGAAGAACCCTAGAAAAAGAAATGTAACCCTCTACACCAATACAAAGGTTATATAGTAAAAGGGGTTACAAGTGCTCAACTTCACTTATAATTCACAAAGAAACACAACAAAATCTTTTATTCAGGCAGAAGTTGTGAATGATATAAAATACTTAACGATGACAGAATCGTACTCTTATCTTATTAAAAAGGCATGCTTATCTCTTATTAATAAATTGGTAATGAATTTGCATATATAAATGTTACAATAAATTTACATGCCAAAAAAGCTTTTTCGTTAGATTCAACAATAATTCTATTTCACAATCTTAGGTCATTTTTAAGTTGCTCAAAATGAACTTTTAGTCCTTGACGACGAACAGCGTTTCATATATAAGGGAAGATAATTTACTGCACAGCATCCAGTTAACTTCAGTTGTAGCACTGTAGTGTCATATTTTATCAAAATGAAAGTTATTTTATTCACGGTTTTACTAGCCATTCAGTTAGCTTCCATTCATTCCTCAAGTAAGGACTTTGTGATATCAACGAATACTTGACAATTAGAATTAACCAGTGTTTATTTCTTGTGGATAAAGTGTATCGTTAATTTTAAATTATTTGTTACCCGATGGATTGATTTTGTTACTCTCTTTGTTTGCTGTACAAATTGAACCTTCAGTTGTAATATGATGTTTATTTATTAGAACATTTTAATTTTAAACATCTAAAACAGTACAGCTATATTTCAGATTTGGAAGGTTTTGGTACAAGATGTAGCGTCCGGGATTCGGACTGCATCACCAGACAGGTGCAACTTAAAACTGCAGCCATTACCTCCAATGTCATGTCGGAGATGACAGCTCGATCGTTGGATCCACTGATCATAGATGCCGCTGAGATAGACTTCGCTGGATTAAAGATTAACTTCTACAAAGGAGTTGTTAATAGCTTAAGCGGTTTCGAGGTTGATAAAATTGAGTAAGTACACTAATACTTAGTTAGTTAATATTATGAGGTATGCTCGAGAGCTAAGGTTAAAGTATACCCATACCACAAGTAAAAAGCAGGGTTTATCTTACTTTTCTACTTACAACTGTATATATATTTATATCTATAGATCTTTTTCATACATCACTTTCTTTTCTAGGATTAACCCAGAAGCAAAACAGATGCACTTGGTAGCTCACACCGACGCTGTAGTGCAAGGACGGTACAGCATCGATGGAAATGTCTTAGGTTTTAAGGTCGATCATGATGGAGACGCAGCAGTTGATTCAAGTAAGAGTCTAAGTCTTTTTTCCATTTACATAAAGAATAATGACAAGGGATTCATTCGAACCTCAATACTTTCAGAGAACTTCCAAATAGAGTTCGTCATACCATTTGACATTGTAAAAGATGCGTCCGGCAGAAACGTATTCGATCTTAAAGGATACCAATACACGTACGACATTAAGGACAAGGTGGAATACAACATCGGTAACTTGTTCCCAGGCTACCCAGGAATTAGTAAGTTTCGTAATGCAAATAATAATTAAATTCATTTAAAATGTATTAACCGTAGTCAGGAATATGTCATGAATGTGACTGTTCTAAGCACGAGTAAAAACAAACATTCAAATGCGTTTTTCTTCTGTGTAAGATCTAGATCTTTTTTTATTCATTAGGTATACGATAGTCAGACAGCGATGCTTAATAATGTTGTGTTCACATTAGGATTTATTTCTACAAATCAAAATTTCAGTTACTACAGTTTTACTACATTGTATTTATAGTTTCCAAATGGTTTGCTGGTTGCTTATTCTAATTTATTAATTTCCTTTTATTAATTTTACAGGCAATACCGTGAACTATTTCATCAACAGAAGATGGTCTAAGTCTCTCCTTGCTACTTACGGAAAGCCAATTCTAGACAATGTCACAAGCAAAATCTTTAATTCCTTTAGATCCTATCTCTTGACTCAACCAATTGACGAAATTTTATATTAATTTTTATATATATTAAGCTACGTGGCGATGCCTTCTAAGAACATAAAAATAAATCGGAAAAGACGATTAATCTGACGTCAAAATCAGATATATGAAAATACTTATCAAAATCATTTTAATGAAATAGTTGTGACTTAGAAGATAGCTTGTAATTTATATGTTTTTTTGGACATACTATATATTCACACACAAAAATTTCAGTTCTGCTATTATTTCAGTGTTTATATGTATAATGTCATTCTGTGGTCTGTTTTATTAATTTAGCATTATCAATTGTGTGTGTTTAATTAAACAGTTAAATGATATGTTTCTCTCATTTTTCGATAAAAAGAAAAAATCCTAATTGAAATCTATTGTGAACCCAGATACATAAATGATAAAAATATACCAAGTAAGTACAGATCTATAACCAAGATTCTGGAAATGGATTTTAGGTTGTTATTTTACGATATTTATCTATACCATAATACAGCAATAAACATCAATCACTAATTAATACTTTAAAAAATCAGGATAGTGAAAAGACATATAATATATTAAACACTGTCTGTAGTTTACGCGAGTACACATTTAAATAAAACACTTTAATGGTTTAAAGCGCGATAGCAGCTGTGGTCACGGGGAGACTGCAAAGCATCCGAAACGTCGGGCCGAAGTTAAAAATAATTACCAAATAAGTTTAAATAATACATATCGTGTTTTAAGCCTTTAAAGTGTTTTATTTAAATGTAATATTTTTTTTTTTTACATAATGTATCTTTGAAAGATTTATCTGATCTTCCGCGGATAGTGTCTGCCGCTGGTTCCGTTAAAGTATAGTCTGAAATTAGCGTGCTAATCTCAGAAGCGGCTCTTATGATCTAGATCTGGTTTTCAGTAATTTAAAAAGCTCTGCTTAACATTAGGGGTTGATTCATAAGTAAAAATGTTAGAGACTCTGGTCAAACTTGCAGGGCGTTTGAAGGTACGGGTATAAAAAGCGCGTCGAGAGCCGCGAAACTTGATTTAATTTATATGTTAGAGTTATTGAATAAATATTTTTAGCATTGGTATAGGTTACGTATTTTATGTCTTTTTTTTTCATTTTTAATGTGTATGTATCTGAAAGTACAAACTTATTATTTTGTTTAGTACTTATAGGGTTTGTAAATAAAAAAATCCTCAATTTTAGTTTATCAGATTTGTTAAAATGTACTAAAACTCCGGAACTTTTTCAACTATAACGTTCAGTCGTAGATTTTTTTTCATGAATTATGAAAATTTATTCAGGTTTGTTAAAATGTACTAATATTCAGGAACGTCTTATATATACGAAATAATAAAATCGAATTTATGTATTGAACTATAACGTTAAGTCGTTGATTTCTTTGCCATGGATTATGAATCTTAATATATTTTGAAAATTAATTTCTCATTTAAAATAGCGCGAATGCGGAAGGGAACTTTTTGTTTCAACAAGTCTACATCGAAATAGAATCACGTTTCAAAAAATACATATACGTATATAGCTAATGAACATAATAATTTTTACTTGCTCTATAGTGTAATTATACAATAAAAAAAAAATATGCCTAAATACAAATAAAATGACATTAAATGGTACAACTATACAGTAGCTAAATCATATACGTGAACAAAGTTCTTATAACTGTTTCTACGAATGCTTTTTATACAGTGAATTTTTAGTTATTTTAGAATCGTCTCGTGGTACGAAGTCAAAAAACGAAAGGAGTTATTTAAAGGATTGGTAATTGATTGAAATAAAAAAAAAATAAAAACAACTTCATTAATGATTTGTTTGTTTTGTTTGTGCTTACATGAGGAGCAGGAGAAGGTTGGAGAGTAAGGGTAAAGTTGCGGATAGCACTTACGTTGGGCAGTTCAATTTAAAATATTACCAAGTATATAACCTTCTTTACCTTTAAATAAAGTCAAGAAATAAATTATCTGTCCTATATTTCCTATAACGGCTTTTAGAAATTGATCTTTGGGGCTTAACGCCAGACAATGGCCTCTCCTCCTTCTCCTCTCTCTCGCTCTATTATTTACCCATGTGATCATTCGTTTTATTTGAGTACACTTTTATAGTTACTTTCGCATTTATAATATTAGTAAGTTCTATAAAATTAATTACGATACATCCACACAACTTTTCATACCTCATTCAACCTCTTACTACCTTTTTTCATACAGCAAAAGGTTATACAATACATGTCACCGAAAAGGACGCATTTAAGGCAGCCTATCTTTGTTTTAAGTGCTACGTTGACGCAACACTCCCACTCTTACGTCACATCACTCCCACTCCAACTCCTACAGTCACGGGAGTGGGAACTCTCACATCCACTCTCACTCCCATTCCCAAAAAGTTAAAGAAGAAAGATTCATTGTTCTAGCTTCAAAAACCACGAATTTCCATACAAACTTTCATCCCCCTTTTCAAACCTTAACAACCTTTAAATTAAATTAAATTTCTCAGGCTCTAAAATATTTATGTACCAAATTTCATTTAAATCGGTTTAGTATTTTCGGCGTGAAAGCCGGACGGACAGACAGACAAACAGAGTTACTTTCACATTTATAATATTAGTAATGATTTATTAAATTTTACGATAGTAATCTTCATATCTCATAATGCTTTTCATTCTAGGTTGCTTATTTGTTTGCACGCCCTAATATATAACTACTGCTTCGAATTGAATATTTATTTTCTGTTGGTTAGAGCATTTATTGAGGAAGGCAAAAAAAATAATTAATCTTCTAAAAGCTAAAAGGACATCCAGCAAGTTTTTGCTGCAGTTCAAGATACCCAATATATATAGGTATGAAAGAAAGATTCCTCTTTAAATGATCTAAAAAAAGTCCACAACAGTATAAATCTATCTTTTAAGACGAACTTGCAAGAACGTTGAGATGCGACCAACATCATGGGTGACAGCTGTACTTTATAAAGATGAGGAGGAGGTTCCCTAAAACAAATTTATAAGGACCAAAATAAGTATTTTACGTGGACGTCGCTTGCATAGCTAGTTAAAATCTCAACACTTTTTGAGTTAGTTAATTATGATATTTCACGATATGTGAGCAACACGGAAAATATTATTGTTTCCTAGTTTATTTTAGAGTGATAAACAGTATCCCTGGACGACTTATCAAATTCTATTTCAATAGATAAGAATACAGAGCTTTATAAGATCTAGATGAATATATTGGAATTCATTATACATTAGATAACATCTATTTCAGATAATGAAAACAAGACAATTTGATATAATATAGTATGTATACTTGAGTCTTTTTTGAAACGCGACTCCATATCGATGTAAACTGGTTAAAACATAAAATACCCTTCCGCATTTGCGACATTTCAAAAGAGAAATTAATTTTCAAAATACATATTTTTTCCAATACAGGAAATCTTACTCTGTCTCTAAATTCGATAATTTTAAACTTATACTCTATTTTAATACGTACATTCAATTTAAATAAATCAATTCAACGGTTTAAAATGCGACTACTTACTTAAACTACATTTAATTGCCAAAATTATTGAAATCATCAAGTTTTGTTAAAAATCAGAAATCTCTACTTTGACATAAATGTTAAAATAAAAATCTAAACAATGAACATTAAACAAACTAAAGGACAACTCAAAATAAATAAAAAATTTAATGAAATAATCGAAATCGAATAAAAAGAAGAATAAGCGGCTTCTAGGTTTCTAACACTAAAATAATGCAATGCGGCTATGACAGCAGTTACGATATTTTAAGTCCTCGCAAATATTATGAATAAGAACAATAGTGAAACATTGTACGTACGAGTATGTAATCTCACCTTTTCATAATTTCCTCTTAGTTAATATAAGCGTTTAATGAAATTACATCTACAAACATCACCATCAAAAAAGTAACAACATTAGATTTAAAAATATTTTTATTTCACAATCTTGATTCATAATTTTTGAGTTGCTCAAAATTGACTTTTTTTAGTCCTTGACGGCCGGCATTCATATATAAAGGAAGATAATTTACTGCACAGCATCCAGTTAACTTCAGTTACTCGTAGCACTGTAGTGTCATATTTTATCAAAATGAAAGTTATTTTATTCACGGTCTTAATAGCTGTTCAGTTAGCGTCCATTTATTCTTCAAGTAAGAACTTAGTGAAATCAACCCATACTATAGAATTAGGATTTACTGGTGCATATAGTGTATTATTAATCTGATCTATCCACTATCTATCATAAATCTTAATTTTCCATTTTCTTAAATGAAAATTTTGTTTTTAGCAAAATGTGCATTTCGTTATAATGTTATAATGTTTTAATCATTTACAACAGGGGAGGAAGATCATCTAGTTATAAGTAATAACAATTATTAAATACATTTCAGATTGGGGAGGGTTTGACTCAAGATGTAGCGTCCTGGATTCGGACTGCATTACCAAACAGGTGCAGGTCAAAACTGCAGCCATTACGTCCAACGTCATGTCTGAGATGACAGCTAGGTCGTTGGATCCGTTGATCATAGATGCCGCGGAGATAGATTTCGCTGGATTAAAGATTAACTTCTACAAAGGAGTTGTTAAAAGCTTAAGCGGTTTCGAGGTTGATAAAGTTGAGTAAGTAAACATTTTTCGAGTAACATTAAATAGGAATTAGAACTTAACCAATTAATTCAATTTGCAATTCGTAATCGCCAGAAGAAGAAAGTATTTATTCGTTTTGAATAGGCCAAATAAGTCTTATTCTTATTTCCGTGTAAATATAATCGATCAGACGGTGATTTGTGTGCTACATTATATTGTGCACATCTAAAACAAGAGGAAACATTATTTAGCCGCTACTCTTGTATACCTCCATAGCTATTCTCAAATAATAATGCATACATTTTAAAAATTGATATTTTTTTATAATAAACATTTACAATTTGCCACTACATTTACAAGTCTATCTTTCTCAAGTCGCTGTCATCCTAAAAATTCTTCTTTATAATGATTTTGTTTTTCCTAGTATTGATCCACAAGCAAGACAGATGCGCGTGGTTGCTCATACGGATGCTTCAGTGCAAGGACGTTACAGCATCGATGGAAAGGTCCTAGGTTTTAACATCAATCAGGATGGAAACGCAGAAGTTGATTCAAGTAATGTCTTTTGTTTTGTATACTGAAATCATTGTTTAACATAATTGATGAATTATTATTGCTACACTATTTTTAATTATTTAAGTTCTTAGAAAATTATGGAAAACAATAAACGAATGGTTAATTCAATGTTTATCTCTATCTAAATAAATAAATAATTATTATTAAATGTTTATTTCTATTAATGACTTTCAGAGAATTTCCAAATTGAGTTCGTCATGCCATTTGATGTCGTAAAAGATGCTTTGGGCAGGAACGTGTTCGATCTTAAAGGATACCAATACACGTACGACATTAAGGACAGGGTTGATTACAACTTCGGTGATTTGTTCCCAGGCTATAAGACACTCAGTAAGTTTAAAAACAAACGTCAAGTCTCATTGTTCTATAATAGTTTTTTTTTTTTAATTGATGAATGTATGGATATTCTATATTTATGGATTAAACTGTAGTTGTCGGTAGTCCTTGTAGTTAGCTGAAGTTTTTTCTAATAGTAATTTTATCTGGTTTCCATTTTTTACAGGCAACACGATGCACCAGTTCATCAACACAAGGTGGTCAAAGGCGATCCTTACCACTTACGGAAAGCCGGTTCTAGACAAGGTCACGGCTAAAATATTTAACTCTTTCAGGTCCTACCTCTTGACACAACCCATTGACGAATTTCTGTATTAGAATTTGTTATAACCTCTTTGAAGTTACTGTAATTGACAAAAGAAACTTCTTGTTCTTTTCTGATCGTGTATATTACTCAAATCAAATCAAGTTTCAATTTAATTTCCTCTTATGTTGTTATTTTCATGTATCATTAGCCAGTGGTCACTTTTATTTAATTTGTATTACGACTTTTTGTTTTTAATAAAAAAATAGTATGGTATATTCGTTTTATTATTTGCTGTATGCTAAAGCTGGTTGAAATTATTCATTCTGAATAAGTACGCTTTATACGTTCTCAAATCACATCTATCGCGTTAAATTTGTTCAGCTGAAATTTGTTTTCACCCAAATATTTTGTTTATCTATTTTTTAACAAAGTGATGGCAGGTAAAACAACTTTGTACGTCTTGAAATGATAAACAAAAGATATGATAATTAAACAGAGGGCAAAAACATTTATGATAAACATATTTTGTTAAAATAATATCAGGCTTTACCCCAAGTACATTGTTTAAAAATCTAACACAAATTAAAAAAATATTATTTTCTATCTAAAATGATTTAAATTTTTAAATATCTAGGATAAAAATGTAAAAGACGATGTAAATTGGCTCTGGTAACAAATCCAAATGAAGATTCATGGAAATTAGGCAAAGTCGGATCCCACACGTAGCGACATTCAAAAGTATTCGATCCAACGATTAAATAATTCAGCTGTTCATGCTATTGGCGGCAATTTGCATAGAAATGAGTTCTGACAGAAGTCACAATTCGAAACTGAATTGAAATTCCGATTGTCCTGTGAGCGGGAAGAATCGTGCCTAATGCTTTAGAAAAAAATTAATTTTCTACACGATGTAACTTATTCATCGGGCGCTCGCTTAATCTGCTCTCTGCCTAGATTTTGGGTTTTGATTGTTGCTGGTGTAAAATGTGACTTTTATATATATACACTAATGAGATGTTCTATTCAGTGTGCAGGAAAGACAAGCATAAGGTGTACTTAATGAAAGGTGAAATACCCCAGTTATATATTATCTAAGTCTGTCGACCTATTTTGGCTTTGATTACTCGGATATCATAATACTATATTTTTCAGTTTTAAAAGCATTAGCACCAATGATAGGTACTGGGAGAACACATTTCTAACACTTTGAATGCGACAAACATTTATGCGAAGGCTTGTCAATATTTTAGGTGCATTTCAAATATGTGGTAGCGGGAGCTACAAAAAAAAATTGCGATCAAACTCGTTAGAAGTAAGTTATTAAAATGTAAAATTTTTAAACTGCACACAAAATAATCGTGGAAAACCGCTATAATTTATAAAGATGATGAGGATGCTTGCAAAAACAAATTTAGATGCCAAAATAACTATTCTACATATACGAAGTCACCGTCACAGCTAGTGTAGTAACATATGTGCATCGCGCACCCGGAAACCGATGGACACGTCATTTTAATAAACACCTGATAATAAATTGATTCCTAAAGTTGCATTAGATGCCATCAATAACTTGATAATGAGTGATTTCATATAGGAATATGTCAATAACAAGGCTATTGGTCTCACATATGGGTATTACCTACTACTATTGTGGTAGACATTTGACCTCAAATCAATTCTTATGAAAACATATGAAGAATTTGTTATTTATAATAACTATTTTTTTAAATGAAATGTAAGTATAGGGTAAAATGTAACTAAGTTTATAAGATATTTTAAGTGCTAAGTCTAATCGCGTTATTAATTAACAACAGTAACTTTTAACTGTTTAAAATAGTCACTGTTTTAAACATGCTTCACTAAATACTGTCTATAGTTTACGCGGGTAGACAAAATATGTAAGAAAGGTAAAATGTTTAAGAAAGGTAGTGTGTTATTGTCCTCCTGTTCCATTGTAAACTTAATGGTATTATGAATTGAGTTAAGGTATGTAAGAAATGCAGATACTTGTGCTTTGGGCAAGATGGTGAAGGTATCATCTTCGTATCGCTTGTAAAGCTCAGGTTTAACCGGGGAAGAAGCAAGGGCCCTCTCCTCAAAGTCTTCCATAAAAATGTCAGCAACTAAGGGTGAAACTGGAGAACCCATGGCTACCCCATCTACCTGAACATAAAAATCCTCATTCCAAAGTAGGTACGCGGCTGTCAAGCAATTTTAAGTTTTACTAATATATCGCGTTTTAAACCGTTAAAGTGTTTTATTTAAATGCTTTACTAATGCTATGGTCAAATGTCGTCGACGGCAAAAGGGAGAGACAAAGATTTACAGTTAAAGGTTATATTTTATTATTAAATTAGATTGTTAACAAGATTAGATAATATTAAACAAGATCATAATTAAATATTGCTTACGCGAGTAGTACACATTTAAATAAAATACTTTAACGGTTTAAAACGCGATATATTAGTTGAACTTGTCTCCCCGTGACCACGGCTGCTGCAAATTATCCGAAACATCGGGCCGAAGATAAAGATAAGTTTAACTAATATATTTATAGCGTTTTAAACCGTTAAAGTGTTTTATTTAAAAGATCATAATTATTTTTCGATTATTAAAATATGCTGGAAGAGTTCAAAACTTGTATAAATTCGAGACGGAAAGGGCGATATAGCAATCGATCTTTGCGATAAGGATAAAGTTTTAAAATATGTTTTCCTTTTTTTAATCAACAATACAAATATATTAATTTAAAAAGCATACAATACTATAAAAGCATAATTGTCCAAGTGCACTTTTTACTTGGCGACCTTGAATTTGATTCTTACCTTTTTATTTTGGAAGAAAAAATGTTAACATAATTCGCTGCATAGTCTGGTTGGATGATACTTTAAACTTATTTACGTCCTATGGTAAAAAAATCAGTTTCTAATAAATGTTTAACGTGAAACTGATAGTTTCTGGTTCAATTGTGTCTCGGACATTAAAAATGTTAGATACATTTATATGGACGTTGCAAAGGTAACATTTAGAATTATTATTATCTACAGTGAAAAAAAAAATCGTTCAGAACGAAAGTCCTGTTCACATAGTTTTTTTTGGAGAGAGACATTTCTAGGTCTTCTTAAAATAGCCTTTTTAAAACTTTATGAGCTCTCTAGCTTAATCGATGTACTTTAGGAGTTTAAACAGAACCCATCAACATCTGATGTCTCTTAAAGTCTCTTGTATTAGAATACCGCATCGAACATATTTTACTCATTTTAATAAGCTTATGTGATTAATTTATATGACAAATTGTGTGATGATTAATAGCCTCGTAGAACCTTGACTTTGGACAATCATGAGACAGTTCTTTCATATAAATATAGTCAGACAGACACAGAGCAAACAGTGAAGCTTCAGATATTTACAGCAGCGGTATCACAAAATGTCTGTGTTATTATATTCTTTGCTACTTGTATTTCAATTGACATTTATTTACACGGCAAGTAAGTAATAAACAAATAAATAATTCCGAGCAGGCTTTAAATTATTTTTAAAAGTCAATTTATCCAAGATCGTGTGGATAAGAATACAAACTCCTTTCTAAAAGCGAAGCGATTTTACTATCTAGTTAAAGTATACTCAAGAAAAAGTGTGACGAATGTCATGAAAATTCACCTTTCTTTCTAGTTTCAAGTCTAGAATAATGTATTGAACCTTATTCTTTATTTAAATATTTTTAAAATGCGAAATAGATTACATTTTCAGCCAAATTAACCCAAGATGTTTTATCATTTCAGTACCACGTGTGTATAATAGATGTCTAATCTGGGATACAGCATGCCTGACGCAACAAGCCCAGTTAAAAGTTCCAGCCCTGTCTATTGGAATCCCTGAACTATTCGCTGAACCCCTGGATCCCATGAATATTGACTACCTGCACGTTGATATTGCTGGTCTGAAGATGGATCTCAATAAAGCGGTTATAAGAGGTATCAGGAATTCTGTGATAGATCAATTCAGGTAAGACAAAGAAACATGATTTTTTATCAATTGGATTTTTTCCATTCATATGGATTAAATGCTTATGGATGATCTCTACTTGGTTTTGGGTCAAATTGACCTTGGAAAAGTCTCCTAAAAGCTTCTTTGAACTTCATGTTAATTTTTGACCTTATGTTAAGTGCCACATTTCCAATGTAATCCTAGGTGATAATAACACTAAGATTTTACAGTGTCGATCCAGTGTCAAAGCAGGTCCTTTTAGTCTATCATACAGACCTTGATCTAAAATCACGCTATACCGCTGCAGGAAATGTGCTTTCTTTACCGTTTAATGGAGACGGTGAGGCGTTAATAAGTGCAAGTAAGTATTGTTTGAATTTTATTCAGGACTCAAACCTGGAAAACTTAATGAGAACGACACCAATTGTAGCTAATGTGAGGCCTTAATTTAAAAAAATCTAATTCGTAAGGCAGACACGTTTCCAGGACTGTTTACTTATACATAACAGAGACTTCTGTACCTAGTCCAGTCTAGGATGTGTCCCTCAATGCTAGGCATTATTCTTAATCATTAAGCAACGAAAGCAGTCGATAAGACGAAAGCTTACATTTTTTTAACTAATGAAAAACTTAAATTTGTTTCAGAAAAATTGCAAGTCGCTTTCCTTATGCCGTTTGATGTTGTTAAAGACGGTCTTGGCAGAGACGTAATTGATTTGAAAGGATACCAATATTGGTACGATGTAGACAACATTCACTTTGATTACAGCAATTTGTTCTATGGCAATAAAGCTCTGAGTAAGTATTAATTATTATTAATATGAAATTCGACGATGAGGTGTAGGACTCGGTAGCTCAATTGGTAGAGCAACAGCACGGAACGCTGACGATGCGTGTTCAAGTCCTGCCCGAGTCGAAAATTTTTTCAATTTATTTTCGATTTTTAAAGTATTTTTTTTGTTCGTTTAGGTGACAACATGCACCAATTCCTCAACACGAACTGGAAATTTGTTACTTCAGTTTATGGAAGATCACTGCTTGACGTTATCAATGGAAAAATCTTCAACTCCATGAGAAATTACTTCCTATCACAGGCGGTTGAAGATGTATTCTTAGATTAGAAGATTTTAATATGTTACATATTCATTCATCCTTTTTATTAGATTGTAGTTCGATTGTGCAGATGAATTGCGGTGGTTAAAAATATCTCCTTTTAGTTGGATAACTTTTATTGATTCCAACATCAGTAATAATGAACTATTGGAAATTTAATTTAATTACTAACAATATCACAGTTGATTGACGCCCTATGTTGTCGAAAAACGAAAATACTGTACACCCGCCAAATACACTTCCGCCAAAAATTTTTTTGTTCAAAATAAAATTATATCTCCGAAAATAGCATCAAAAGTTGACGTTTTATTTTCAGAACAAAACTTATAATATAGCTTTATGATTTAAATCTTACTCTTTAAGTGAGAACCTTTTTATGATTTTGAAGGGAGAGTTTTTAATGTCCCAATTCTAAACACAGCGTGGTGGGTAACTGTCTAGTCTGTCACTCACCATGCTATCGCTACACGCCATTGGGGTTTAAGGCCTTTAATGTTGACCATCGGGAGTCCCGTAATAGTTATCGTAATCAAGACCTCAATAATGTCCCGGTTTTATTATAGAATAAATAAATTAAAGAAACAAATCTCTAAAAAATAAAACATTTAATCTATAAATAAGGGCGTGTAGAATGTAGATGTTTAACACATAGACTCTTAAACATTCGTTTTTCAAGGACAATGCTTTCAATGTTTTAAATCTGGTGTTTAAACATTTTGCCTACTTACGCCTTTATGAAGCTAAGGACAAATTGAATAAAGGATTTTATACCACTATTAATATCTCCTTGTTATAGTGCAGTATCTCAGAATTAGATATTTAAATTCGAAATTAATTGTATGATTTTTTAGTAACATCTTATGGTATTCATTACTTATATATTTTGATAATATATAAGGAGTATTTATTATTTTATTTGTATTATGTTACGACATTGTTGTTGTAATATCTCAAAATACCTTATAATGATTTAAGTAAATGGCATACAAATGTGATTTCACAATTTTTATTGAGAGACACGACATTTTTTTATTTTATTCCAAGGCATATAAAATTAAAATATCATCCGAAATGCCACTAGTTTATTCTTAGTCTTTATCGATGCTGTTTACGTTTTTACATAAAGTAATAGTATAATTATGATTAAACGGTCGCTTTGTGTGTTCTTGTTTTTAACTTACTTAGATATTGTAAGGCCTTACGGTAAGTTATAGCGGACGCTAGAGCTAATGCTTTAATATTCAAAGGGTTCGTGACTTTGGAAAGAAATTTTATTTATAAGCTGCGTGAAACAAAGTACCTTTTCTTAGTAATGATAAAAGACGTGTTTTATAAATCTTAATAAATAAAATAAAGCTTTAGGAGTGCATTAAATCCCAACTTGCATATAATTTGATTGAAACCAGTGGTAAGAAACGTTTTTTTTATCACTTTGTGTTCTTAGGAATATATATCCTAGAATTTATGTATTAAAGCTTTTTAACAAGATAGAGACGCATTTTTTAAATCGTTTATAACAGGCAATTGTGATTTTGAATGAGTATCTGTATTGTATTTTACGAGTAATACTAAAGTATTTTTGAGTACCTTATGAAATACTGAGTAGTACACATTTAAATAAAAGACTTTAACGGTTTAAAACGCGATATATTAGTTAAACTTATTTGAAAATGATTTTTAACTTCGGCCCGACGTTTCGGATGCTTTGCAGCAGCCGTGGTCACGGGGAGACCTTGTGAAATAGGAACTTGTTCATTAATTATTAATTAAAATATTATCAAATACATTTTAATATCAACTTGTCTATTCGAAAAAGGTGGCTTTATATTACGTTTTTTTTCAGTGTTCCCATCAATAAAGAAATGCCACTTCAAGGATTCAGCTTGTTTAAAAGAGTCCTTTCAAAAGGCTCTACCATTGTTTGCTGACGGAATACCCGAACTGGGAGTAGAGAAAATGGATGAATTAGTTATACAAGATAAAACGTACAAATTGGGCGGATTAGATTTTACCTTGAAAGATGGAAGGCTAAAAGGGTTAAAGAGCACTGTTTTTGATCTTGTAAGGTAAGCCTGTTTTTAGTTATAGCCACTAAGAAATATTGGTTTGTGTAAGAATAAAGGAAAAGCTTTCATGTTTTCTTTTAAACCGGATTTGCTATCGAATCTCGACATTCCTTGTATTCAAACAAAATATTTATTATTAAGAACTGCACAATGACTATACTAGTTATTGTTTAAATCTGTTGTTCATGTATAATTACAGTTTTATAATAAACTAATAGTGAAAAAAATGCTTTTAAATGTTTTTAAAGAAGGTAAACAAAAGTATAAACAATTATTTTTATTAATTAATGTACGAGACGCCGATATTTCTATATTGCATATAGTAGGTATATAGTTTTAAATAAACAACTTTAACGATTTAAAACGCGTTATATTTTAGTTAAACTTGTTTGAAAATTATTTTTAACTACGGCCCGACGTTTTGGATGCTTTTCCCTGTTCTCGTCTCCCCGTGACCACGGCTGCTTCAAAGCTGAGCTATTATCTCGGCACCTCAGTAATACGTCATCATTGTACGTTTTTGTAAGCACTTGATCATATGAAAGTAATATAAGTAAGAATCATTTTGATAATCGATATAACTTACGACACCGGCGGGACTTGAATTAGCATCCACAGCGTTCCGTCCTATTGCGCTATTGGGATCCCGTGTCCTATATTTAAGAAGATTATAAATTTATATAATAATCATGCGAAACATGTAAAAGTATTTATAATAGTTTTCACAATGGAAGTTAGAGATATCTAAATCTTTTTAGGATGGACATGGACAACAATTATGTATATACAAAATATCACGTACCCAAATGTTCAATAAAGGGTAAATATGAAGGAATGGGGAATATCAAAGTCCTACCTTTAAGAGGGTCCGGAGAAGTTTTTTTGAAATTCCGTAAGTTTATTAAAACTTGATACAAATTTCAATTTTAATTTTTATATACTTACCTCAGTAAGTAAGTAATAACAATTTTATTAAATACAAGATCCATTCGTTATTATGGAGCCAAAAAATTTACATATCTACCTATATATAAGTATCCTTTGTTTTTGTGTAGAGTATACAATAACATTTTTTTTTAATTTTAATTGGTTTTTCCGTCACCAATGGTTATTATTTGTAAGTTTGTTAACACACCTACATTTAATGGAGTTATATTATAACTTTGTTATAAATAATAGTTAACTATAACAAAGTTATAAGTATTAAGTTATGAATAATAAAGATTTTCTCGAGGCAGCATCATCGTTAGTGTCCTAAAATAGAATATTAAGTTAAATATAGACCGTTTGTATTTTAATAATTACATAATAATTTTGATCATAAATACGTATGTATAAACCATATTTCAGGTAATGTCGCCGTATCGTTAAATACAACCATTGCAATGGAAAAGAAAAATAATAAGAAATACATAGTTCCAAAATCATATACTTTCGACTACGAAGTGAAAGATTATGCGCATTTCAACCTAACTAATTTGTTTACTGGGAACGAAGAACTGAGTAAGTATTTTTCGTGATAGTGAGAACCACGGAAGCTTTTGTTTTGCTTGATTAAAGGTTTACCTCAGATCTATAACAAGTTATAAAGATCATCTTATTTAAATTACACTTTAAGCACAGCCATACAAGCGTTTCGTTTCGTGGCTTTTTGAGGATGGTGGTTGAGGCTAATTTGACGATACAAAATCTTTCTTACATTGTTTTCTAACATCTTCTAAGAGATAATCATGCGTGAACCGAATCCACGACCTATAAATAGCCATTGATCACAACTGGACTGACGATACAGTCAAAAATTCGACTAACATACAAACAAACAATAAATACCACACACACACTACAATGTTACAAAAAAGATTTAATTTGATGAAAGTCTAAGAATCATATCGTTTGGATTGATGCCGTCGTTGTCTTGCATTGTACACTATGCTTTTTTGATAACAGGTAACACAGTGTTAACATTTTTGAACGACAACTGGCGAGACGTTTCGAAGGAATTCGGAAGACCGATGATGGAACAGCAAGCTAAACAGTTACTTGATAATATTTCTATATATTTAAAGAACTCAGCTGTAGAAGACATATTTGCGTTATGAGAATTTGTTAAAGACGTATGTTGTTTGAATAATTAAAAAAATACTTACCTAAAATATTAATTCACTGGTTCTAGACTTTTGCATTTAAACCCAATGCAATAAGCGTAAGAGACCTTGGGTTTAAATAAGGGACTGTCCTATACATACAGAAAAATTTATCAATTGCTTATTTAAATAAGACATTTTAACGGGTTTACACCCGATATATAGTACTTAAATGGCTGCTACAAAGCATACAATTCGTCAGGATTTAGTTAAAATAATTTTCAAACAACTTTAACTAATATATATCGCGTTTTAAACTGTCAAACTGTTTTATTTAAATGTGTACTACTCGCATTAACTACAGACAGTATCCAATTGCTTGTTTGCAAATTGATCAGTAAAACGAGGGGAAATCGTCGCTTACATGTACTATTAAGTTTAAATTTATTTATACCTCCCCGTTTTACGAAAACACTGATATAAAACTAGGCGCTTCTGTAGTACTTAATGGATACAACAGAAGTTGATCGTGAGATTTTTCAAAGCGCTCACTCCGCCCCTGTAGTGTATTGAGTTGTTATTAATTAGGCTTTACAGCCTTCAACTAAATTGATTAAAACATGGCGCAGCATTGACAATCAATACGAGATCGGCATAAGACAGTCGGACCCGTATGTTTGGCAAAGACATTGATTAATGCAGAACCCGGAAACCAGATGTCGGCCATTATTGAGATAACGCTAATTTATCTTATCGCATATGCCACAAATCCCATAATCTCTATTTATTTATTCGTAATATGCAAAGCTTCATATAAATATGCATATTGATATTTTGGTATGTTAACCTCGTAGTGCTCATCCCCTATTAACATAAATACATTTTATCTATCTATACTAATATTACAAAGCTGAAGAGTTTGTTTGTTTTAACGCGATAATCTCAAGAACTCCTTGTTCGAATAGAATTGATGGCTTCCGATGTGTACGCTGCGAAAACGGTTCAAGAAACAAAAAATATGCATGAACGAATTATTTTTCTTTAAATGCATATTGCGCGCACCACATGTCTATTTTTTTAAGATTATCTCGCAAGAATGACGAGATGTGGACGACGTCGAGTGTAACAGCTATAAATTATAAAGATGAAAAGGTGATTTGCAAAAATAATGAGATAAACAATGTTATGATGCCAAAATAACTATTTCACGCGGACAAAGACACGGGAATAGCTAGTTTTATCATATTTGGTCTTCTATTGGACTAACATTTTGTGAAGGCGATATAAACGACTAACTGAAAATAAATATTACTTATTTAATTTGTTTAAGTCTGTGTGTGTACACCGTAATCTTAGAAGTGATAGCACAGATTTTTTCGTGACAACAAGGGTGATAATTTTTGGTGTAAGTTTGAAGGGTGTTGAACCAGCGTAACGCATTTATATATATCGTCGGTTTGGAAGAAGACTATAATATCGCAAAAAATTGCATTTTGCAGGAGAGTCATTTAAAGTTTTCATATTGATTTTTGTTAAAATGCTCAGTAGGTAATTTCATATTTCTATCATTCAATAATCAGGAGAAACAATGTGAAGTGTCTGCCGTGTTTTGATTCTTGTATGTCTAAAAACCTTCCCCATTTCTACCACTTTCATCCACTCTTCTTATATGTGATAGTATTCCCCAAAAAAAAATTCAAATAATTTTGAAGATAATATTTTGTTACAACAGGAGTTTGATAAAAAACAAAATATAACTGCTTACCTTTGAAGACATGGTTATATTTTGGTTCGTAATGGTTTTGTCTGAAAAGTGCGATGAAACTCTTTTCTTCACTGTCCACTTTTTGAGATATAATAGTCTTTCACAAAACAAACGAACTCTCTGAAGCGACTTCACAATGCTAACTGAAATGTAATGGGTCTTCTCAAAATGTCAAGAGGGGAGATGTCATACTTTCATGCAGAGTGCCCTGTCGGTATGAATAAAAGTACAAGTTAGAACCGTGTTCCACATAATTTCTCACATTTGAGTTCTATCGATAAAACAAAAAAAAATCATATTTTTTGAAATGCATTAGTCTTCTTCCAAACCGATGCTATGTTGTTCAGCCGACTGTCATAAGTAGCAATATAACTGACAACCAAAACTAACTCTCAAACAAAAACTTTCCTACCTTACTTATAAAATTGTAGTATAAATATAAGTTTAAATACTTTAAGTTTCCACCGCAAATATTTATTTCATGACCCAGTTTTTCGTACTAATTCTAAGATATTTTATATTCAGTTCACACACTAGACTAACTACAAATTTATTTTAATTCAAGAAACAACGCCATTAATATTAATACGGACAAAGTCGTGTGCGTGTGAGGATTTTCTCACACGCCTAAAGTATCTACCGTTTTAAATAAAAGAATTTCTGCTTAAATACAACATATACTACTAGTTGTGCCAGCGATTTTGTCCACGTAGAATAGTTATTTTGGGTCATTATGGGATATGAAGGTCATATGAAGATCATTTAAAGAAGAATCATTTCTACATATTCTACTGTAGGTACCTTGAACGGTACGTGCAGCATGCAACATAAACTCTCAAAGACGTATAATTTTTTGTTTTTTCCCGTTTGTTCGAAACACATGTGATTTTGTTGATGCCAAAGCCTTCGTTAAATGTATTGGTTATTTTTCTCTTTTTTCTTGTAAATCATTTTTGGTCTAATCAACACAAAGACAATATTTCAATACAGACCAGTAGTTCCTGAGGTTGGCGCACTCAAATAATTCACAAACTCTTCAAATTTATGACTATAGACTTTGAGGCGGTATATTATATATTGAAAAAATTAATAAATTGAATTTCTATACTAAAAAACAGCTAAAATGCCGCCCTTTGTCGTTTTTGATTTTATTTTTTCTTCTGTGACAATAAAGAGCAGGCAAAAGAAGAAAGGAGTCTAGTGCTTCAACTAGAATTAGCCATTCTTGAGAAAGGAACAGGAAAATTTCATTTCCATAATAAATTAACCAACAGACTTGGCTATATTGGAATAAATAACGATGAAAACTTATTAAAATTCATTCCGATTGGAATGATAATAAATTCGGAAATCGTTAATGAGTTCATCACGGTTGTTGATCTTTCGTTTTCTTCAGCAATCTGCTAAGTAGCAAAGCCAGCCATTAAGAAAATAGAGTGGTTTAATAATTTACAGTTTATTTTATCTTAATGGTTTCACGTATTTTATATGTTACTAGCTATAACCCACGACGTCGCCCGCATCCCGACGTTCTTGCGATTTAATCTTAAAAGATCGACATATACTTTTGGATCTGGCAGTACCAACCATAACAGAGGCGAGAGTCGACCAGAACTACTAAACGTTACATTCAAGAAAACGTGTTTGTAGGACTCCAAAGCAAGCCAAGCCAAGATACGATAGCTGGCGTATTTCAACTACCATCAAGAGAACCTCATGCTGGTGTCTCTTCCTCTATCATAAAGTAATAAGCCAACGATTAAAAATTATATATGTGCTCTTACGTTATTAATTTTAACTCTAAGACGTCAAAAACACTTTTAGATAACGCGTGCATAACTTAGTTTGATTTGTATCCTATTTAATCTCTGTGTCTCTGTCTAGTAAAATATAAATTACAAGATTCTATTTATATGAAAATAGATACTAAATTACATCACCGCACGTACAATATTTGTAAAGTTAAATCTTCAAGAAAGTACTTCCGCAAGCAAGTATAAAGATACCTTCATAAATGAGCACCAAGCATGTCAAGATTATGGCCCTATTTATTCATAATCATCCTTAGAATGGGTCCCCACGGGCCCTTAGCACGTTTAGAAGTGATTTGCATAAAATTATTAATTACGGTTTTAGCGCTGAGAGCTTCAGCGCGTATCCTAATCAGCATTAACTGGGGAAATATTGTGTGCTTCAGTTAATTGTACATTTGAATAATAATGTAAATAAAACCGTTTGACAAAACTTAAAATATAACGACCCTACGTTTTCGGGTGCACCAGTCGTAGCAGCAGCCGTGCAGTAGGCCGTAGTTAAAATAAATTGTTAGTTAGGTAATATTTTCTTAAACGGAAGAAGTACTTTATCAATTATAAAATTAATAAGATTCGCATGTCAATGAGTTACTAGTTACTTTTACGGTATTCGTTACAGCATATGAATAATTTCGGTACAATTTAAATAGTCGCTTGCTAACTGATTGAAAAGTAGCGCATGTTTCCTGTTTGTAACACTGAAACAATGAAAACCTAGAAATGTGGAGTTTGTCCTATAACTTACTATTAATACAGAACGATGCTTTAACACTACTAATTATTATTATGAACGATACACTTACTTCTACTACAAGTACACCTATAGTAATAGTATAAAACTGATAATTTTGCTCGTTTGGACGTGCTAATCTCACGAACTACTGGTTCGGTAAAAAAATCTTTTTACCAATTATATTTCATTAAAATAATTTATTTTCACACAATAAAGAAGTTATCTGTGACCCTTCGTTCTTGTGAATAATGGCAATTGTAATATTGTAACTAACTGACATAATAAACCCTAAATACTGTCTGTAATTTACGAGGGTAATACACATTTCAATAAAACTTTAACAGTTTCAAACAGGATATGTATTAGTGAATAATTTCGAATAAGTTTGACTAATGACTATTTATATAATAACACAAAATAAAATAATACAGAAAATAATAATAAACTTAATGTGATGTGCGAATGCACCATCTAGTATCGCTTATCTTTGTATGTTTACTCGATCAGCTGCGTTCGCGCCGACAACGTCAAAGCTAGATAATAATACAATGATATACTGTTCATAACTACCTCCTTTTTATAGTTGTGTTTAATAAAAATACTGTCCAAATTCCAATGTAATATTTAGTTAACTTAGTAATAAGTGAATGTGTACATTCTTTAATAAATGTCTAAAACCATAATGTATATTGCGTTTTAAGCC